AAACATGTTTTAACATGAGAAAAATCGAGATCATCAATTGAAAGTACTGATAAATATAAATGAATTAATTTAATATGATCAACTTTTGTAAAATGAAGACCATATAATGACATAAAACGTTGTAATTTCGATGACCAATGTGAAAACCCCGGTCTTAATTCACGTAATTGTATAATACGTGATATATTTTCTTTAATTTCTTCGAAAAAATCATAACCTTGCCGTTTAATTGAATCGTTAAAAGGTAAATATTTATTGAAAATATTTGGTTTTTGAAGATTATCTTCAGATGTATCCATTTCATCAACATCTGTACTACGTTCACTTTCAATTTGTTGATCATCCATCTAAATAAAATATCATAGGAAAATATTTAATAAAATTAATCTTGTAAGATTTTACAATATATATATTTATATACAAGTTTTCCGTTATCTATTGTATTATATAATATAGGAATGATTATTCATCGGTATAATTCGAATGACAAATAAACAGAAGAAAAAGTCGAACTAACTGATATGAAAAAAAAGAAAAAAAAATGAAGGACAAAATATTATGCTACATCATCATCATTGCAGGATCATTTCGATTCTGAACGTAATTATTGATCAAAACCTATCCATTTATTGAGCAATTGTGGGCCTTTATCTCTTCTTTATTATCAAATAACATCATAGTGCGACATCTACATAAAATGAAACTATAATTATTATTCTGACACAATCTCGAATTTTTCTGATGAAATATATGGAATGAAAGAGTGTATGTTTGTTTTAATTATCTTTAATCTAAGCTATGTCTTACATATACTGAAATACTATTCTTCATTTATTGTGTATGTGACTAATGTTGCAAGATTTATTCACACAACTATGACCTCAGTTCGGTTATGTTTAGATGAATTTTAATATCTTTAAATTAAAGTATTAGGATGGCCTGCGCGAACGCAAGCCAGCGTCAAGAAATTAGCGGATCTCTTCTATTCATTAGAATAGAAAGCGTACGTCAATCATAGACCGATGTGCAATGGTCAGACCTTCACACGGCGGATCGAAGTTCTTGATCGTCGAAACCGCATCCGAAAGTAAGTATGAATATTCATAAAATATTTCCATCTATTAAAATAACTTTATGCGCAAAATAAAACAGGTGAAAATAATGTAGACCATTCATGAACAAATGACGACAAGAAATCGGCGACAGTCAGAACGAAAAAACCAATTTAAACTATTGGACTAATTTTTTTCAGAAGAACAGAAAAAAAGTGAATCATAGTGGAAGAGAGATATCAAAGTTTGACTGTGCAATTTATGCATTGTGTAATCTTATATAATAATATGTTAATGAAATTCATAAGCATACTTACCTGCCACAGGAACTTCCTTGAACATGAAGAAGGAAGCCCCTGGCGGAGGCCTTGTCATTGCACATCGACAACGCTAAAGCCAGCGAAAGGTTCACATAGAACTTTCTCGAGTGGATCATTTTTCCCAACGGATCGAGCGTTCGCGCTTGATCCTGCTCATTAAAATTAATGATAAAAATCTTATATTGAAGATAGCATATAATGTTATTTTATTATTCTACTACATTTTGTTTTCTCGACAACAAAAAACAATTTGATATCATTTTATTTTTGAAAGGCATACATAATTCATGCAGAAATATTTTCAAGAACAATAAATCAAAGATAAATATATTGTAAACATAAGTAACAAGAAATATAAGATAAAAAGAGATTCATTCTTTTCTTTGTTAAATAATAACATATACAAAAAAAAAAGTAACCGTATAAATCATTAGTACTTTATTGTAGTTTCTACAATGTGTATTTTAAAATTTGATCTTGACTTAAAGCAGAAATAACTAGATAGTTTTCAAATTCACATGTAATGGAATGTATATGTTGATGAATGAAACTATCGAATATTATTACTATTTGTATTCGTAACTGTTTCATCACGTCGAGCTAAGAAAATAGCAATAGCATTACCAGTTAAACATAAAAATGCTAAAAGTCCCATGATCTATATGAAAATAAATGATTAACTTTGTACTTATGATTTAAATACTCACTCCACCAGCAACTTGGCCTGAAATTCGACAATAATTTATTGTGATACTTGATGCAATCTAATAATATATAAACATGAATCTTTTTATTCTTTTTTTTGTTATTCATACCAAAAGATAGAGTGCATCATGTGCTGTTGCAAAGAAATCCTATAAATAAATATTATACAATCAATATATGACAATCCTCAAAAATACAGAAGCTGTCGTCTATCTATTGACTCGAAGTGATGATGTTTCGTATATGTTTGTGGACAAACGATCATCCTAACACTCTCTTCTTCTTCTTCTCCGTTATGTTTGACTCTCGACGCGTCGACTGATCAATACATTCTATAATAATATCAATAGAATAACATACTTACCAAAAATTCAAAATCAATACCAGGAAATTTTGTTTGCAAACGAAATACAAAAACAATTATAATTATAACTTGCATTATAATAACTAACCATGTAACAGTAGCAAGAAATACATGAGTTCCATCACATTTTTGCGTTGATACCAAACATACAAACGCAATAAAACTAAATAACTATATATAAAGAAATGATTAGTAAACTATGTTATTTCATACGATATTCAAGATATATAAATAAATACTTGATCTATGAAATTAGCTTTCACTAGAGATCAACAGTTTAAGGTTATAAAACATATGTTCAAAATAGAACTAATTGACTTGTTTTATAAATATCAACTTACCAATGCAATAAACTTGAGAATGCCACGAATAGATGTAATATAAGCTTTATCAATACGACTTTCAGACTCTGCAGGTGGTGATGTAGTATAATTACTAGCTTGAGCATGTCCTGTTGTCATATAATTTGATGATGTATTTTGTGCATTCATATTTTTTAGTGATGATTAATAACAACTGGTTGTTGTCGTAATCTGAAGTTGAAAAAGAAACGAATATGTCGATAATAAATTGCCTTCTCTCTCTCTCTTGTTCTATCGTCTATTCTTTCGTTTCAATAATGTACGAACGACAAGAGAGATGGATTGTCTTCTTCTTCCTCTTCTTTATCGAACTTATCTGGCATCATTGATATACATATCGAACGAGAAGAGAAGCGAGAGAGAGAGTACAACGATGTGCTCTATTTATGCGACACAATATGAAATCTAGAGAGACGGGTCAATATATCGTTGATCAAAATCTTCAATGAGTAATGAACAAATATATACGTACACGTACACTTTCATGATCGTTTATGTCTATGTCTTGAAATAAAGAGTAAGATTAATGATTATCTCTATACTTATCATGTTCAATATGATTTATTTCTTATGAAATATCAGAACAATTATACGGAGTAGCAGCTGTTATTTCGGTTACGTATTCATACCAGATGTTTACCATAGACTGATTATTGAAAAAGACGTTATGCTATCGTTGTATTTTTTTGTCTTCTACTTGTTTTATTTTCAAATATACGTGTATACGAATGACAACGAAATAACAATTTAATATTATATTAATTATTGAGGTAGCCCATTTGACAATTCATGTAGTGTATAATTGGACGTATCAAATAGTATATCTATGTACTTTTCTTTGATTAAAAATCGTTTATTTGACAAGACAGTGATTGACAGAAAAAAGAAGATTGAATTGATATAGTTAATAGAAAGTTGACTTTAATCTTTGTTTTTCATTGGTAAGATTAATATATCAATGCATATATATATTCAGCATCGACATTGATCAGTTTCTTGATAAAATCGATTCATTTAGTCGTATTTGAAATATATTTACATAATATCACACTGATTTTATAAGCAAAAGAAAATAATTTTTAATAATAATTCTACTGAATTAATTAGATTGCAGAAGGTTATTTGTAATGTGATATAATCAGAAACTGATTATTTGAAGAAGCAAATTTGCGTATAATCCATTTCATCCTTTAAATATATATTTATCAAGAAATGATTATCGTTGTACATATTCTATCGATACGATACTCCTGTTTAAAAGTAGCACGAAAAAATTACTGTTTAGAAATCTTTGAAAATTTGTAATCGTCTGTTTCGGTGTGCATAAATTTAGTCAAAGTCTATGCGATGAATGGAGCACGAACATAAAATCAATTTGACAGTTAGAAAATGTTTTTTCTTATCTAGCACATCTGTTACTAATAGACATATTATGTTTTATAGACGTCAGGTCTGTAAATCTAAATTCCAGCTCGAAAGTTACATTTATCTTCATGATTTCAAAATTGATTGAAGATTATTTTAGTCAGAGGTATATATTAAATGAAGACAGAAAAAAAAGAAATGAAAATGAGAAGACAAAAAAAATATAGAAGTTATCTTCGAGCGCATTTCTAACGATGAACATAATATAATAAAAACAGACAAGAGAACATCATATACAACATAGAAGAAAAAAGAGGAGGAGGGGGGGGGAGGGTAGATTAAGTAAAGTTTTGTTGGTTTCTTTTTGTTACACAGACACAATAATCCTAATAATAAATACACTGATGTGCATATCAAATAAGAAAAAGAAAACAGAAATTCAAGTACACATATACAAACACATGAGGTGGAAGACATCGAGACAAAATTTTGGAATGTAGTCTACTAAGTAGATCGGATTGTTAATCAAAACACAAACAAAAAAGGAAACTAAAAATAGATGGAATAATTATACAGTCTGTAATGCTGAACAAAGAGTAGTTGGGATAGAATTTGATGTTCGAAGTGCTGCACATAATGATGAAGATGACGATGACGATGATGATGATGAACTTGAAAATGATGGCGAAGAATTTGATGAAGAAAGAGGTGATGATGTTGCTTGTGGTATTGGCATTGATGGTGAAATTGGTTGACTTGTTGATAAACCTTCAAAATGACGAAATATTAATGCAACATAATACATAACACGTTCCCAATCGGGCCATTCTGACGAACACATTTCTTCAACATCCTAATAAAATACAAAATATAATATAATATATTCATATTTTTTTTGTTTTGTTTATACCAATATTGATACAATTCCAACACTACTAGCAACATTAAACGCTATTTCGAAACGTTTTTTCTAGAAAAAAAAAATAATTTCAATTAATTTTTTTTTCATATTAATTTTATTTACCTTTGTTTCTTTTTTAATTGTTTCAAGATCAATACAATCAGGTAGATAACAATGTAATAATGAACAAAATGCAATTCCATCTATCCATGAATTTGAAAAATTCGTTATTGAAATTCCCTATTGAATATTCATATAATTGATATTATTCACATAAGAAAAAGATACTTACATAATTTGCTAATTTTTCTCCACACCATTTTAATAATGCATCACGTTTACAAACACTTCCTGGCATTCGTGCAAAAACTGCTTCAACAATTGACTTCATTTCATCATATTGTTCACTAGAAAGATGATAAATATATATTTTTTTTAACAAATTAAAATTCTATACTTCGTTATCGATCGAAGTGATATATCTGATCGATGACTATTATTTAAACAAGATGTTGATGGTGATATTGTATGTTTTGTTGTAGTCGTTATTGTTGTTGTTGATAAAAGTTTTGCATCATCTGTTGTTGTACCAAATTGTCGATGATGATGATGACTATTTGTTAATAAAGCACTTGTTTCTGTACGTGTACATGGTTGGGATAATGGACGTTGACGAATTGGAGATTCAATATGAGTAGTTAAAGAGCCTAAAATAAAAATACAAGTAAATTTATTTTTATAGATAAATATTTATATATTACTATTTCGAGAATTCGCTTCTAATGTTCGAATCATTTCTTTGATTCTTATATGGCCAAAATCTATTCAAAGAAAAATATATTAAAAGAATATCAATTCGATCTACAAAAAATCTTACCACATAATGCATTATTATGTGGATTATTGTTACGATTTGTTGGTGGTAATTGCATCTAAACAGATCAAGCAATGTTATGATATTAAATATGAAAATAACAGTAGATTTCAATAGTGAAGTCTTTTATAGGTACAGGATTATTGAACAAACAATATGAGATATAAACTTTGTTGATATCTTATTTTCTTAGGAAATTCTCTGATTAACTAATGTATAACAGAGTGGAACTAATCTCAAATACAAAACCTTGAGAGAAGTGTTAGCTATCGAATCCAGTTTCGAGTATCTCTCCAATACATAAGGAATGATTGGTCATAAATAATTTCATTAATATATTCGTCTCTTTCTTGAAAAATGAAATAACAGGCATTTTAGATCTATTCGAACTTTAAAAGTTCTTCGTTTTGATTATTATATCAATAATAGAACTCTAGTTATACATCTATACCATTACAAAGATCAACAATAGGTTATATCAAACATTCCAACTGTTGACATTTTCTCTGAGCTTATATATATATATCCGTTATTCATTTTGAACAGGTGCATTTTCCTTTCAATTATTATCACTAATCATTTTGATCATTTACTTGTCTTCGTTGAACTTCTTTATTAATTGCTTTTTCTTGTTCAATATGTTCCGTAACACGTTTAAGATCATCTGTAGCTTTTGTTAATCGATCTTCAGCATCTAAAAACAAACAAAAATAATCAAAAAGTTTGTTTTTTCGAAATATAAAATCAATACCATGTCGCATTTCACTTGCAACTCGTACAGCAATTAACATATCAGCTAATGTTTCATCTTTTTCTTGCGTAATATATTCCAGTTGTTTTTTTGTATCAGTTAATTTTTTTTCGACATCTTCAATTTGTGTTGATAATAAAGAATTTTTTTCTTTATATTCAGCAATTTTTTCTTCATAATCATCTTCTTTATCAATTAAAGCTTTTTCTAATTTACGATTTTCTTCAATCAATTCTCCACAACGTATCGATGCTAATGCTTTATCTTTAATAACTTCTTCAATTTTCATTTCTAATTCATTAATATGTTGTTTTAAATCATGAATTTCTTTTTCATGTTTATCTTCAATTGTACGTTGATTTTGTTGTAATGTTTGATATTGTTTTTGAGAATATTTTAATGAATCATCTAATGTCGCAATCTTTGTTTCATGTTCATATCGTTGTGTACGTAATTTTTCTTGTATATTTTGTAATTCAATATCAGATAAAGTCTTTAATTTTGTACATTCTTCAACCTAGAAACAAAATTTATTATCGAAAAAAAATAATTTTTTGAATAGAGACTTTTTTTCGATCATTTTCAATTTGATTTTTTAATTTTTGATTTTCTTGTTCATAACGATCACATAGTTTTTTCATTTCATTGGATTCATTTATTAAACGTTCATTTTCTTCGGTTTTTTTTTCAAGTTTGATTTTTGAACATAAAACATTATCATGCATTTTATCAGCATCAGTTTCATAATATTTTAATTGTTCTTCTAATTTTTGTATACGTTCATGTGTTTGTCGCTAAAGAAATTTTATGAATAGATTTTATATAGATTTTTTTTCTTCAAAAAATACTTGTTGACTTAATAGCTCATCACGTTCTTCTTGAGATTCTTGTAATAAAGATAAGAGTTTCTTTTCATCGTTGCTGTGTTCTTGCTCTAGAATAGATAAAAAAAGAAATTTTTTTTTATTGTTTAAACTATAATCTCGTGGTCGGTGAATGTGGATTTATATGTTATATTATTTACCATTTCTTATCATTTGCTCCAATTGTTCATTCTTTTGTTTTAGATTACGTAATTCATTCGAACGTTCATCAACAATAAAACACAACTGATCGCGATCCTTCTTGCCGTTTGCTAAATGTTGTTCTTGCTGTTTGATTATTGCCTGCATAGCACACATAACATAAAAGAGAACAAAAAAGAAAAGATTAACACTTGTAGTGGATGTGTATGTGTGTGTGCGTGATGGGGAAGATAAAAGAAAAAATAATAATAAATAAATAAACGAGAACAACCTATGTACTTCATATATATCTAAGAAACTCACCTGGCTATCAGTTAGTTCACGTAGAAGTGCTTGAATTTTTTCATTTTTTGATAATGACTCATCCGTTATTGCTTTAAGTTGTTGTTGTTGTACATGATGATCATGTTGATTGATTTGTAATGGTGGTGTTTGAGTTTGAATTGAATTTGTTTGAATACGACGTTTAACTGATTGATATTGTTGAGATATTGATTGTTCATCGGAAAGTATTGTTGGTGTACGTTTATTTATTGATGTAGTTGGTCGTAAAACAGGTGGAAAAGATGATGTCGATGATGGTGAAGTATTATTATTATTATTTGTATTATTATTATTAGTATTAGTTTTTATTGATCGTTGTTTATCATGTTTAACTTCGATTTCAATTTCACTTTTATGACGAATTTCAGATCGTGATGTTGGTACGGAACCTGTAAAATTTGTTGATTTTATTATTGAATTAGTTGAGTCACAAGTACTGGGAGTAAGAAGAGAATTATTTGCAGGTGTATTTGGAGCTATAATATAAAAATATTTGACATAATTATAAGTACATATAAAGGTAATTTTTATTTATTAATGTAATTTGTTCCTTTTTACCTTGATTCATTTCTTACTATCTATACTTATATATTTACAAATCTTTCACCTTGCTATTATCATCGTCTTTTCTTTTTATTAAAGTAAAATGAATTTGCTTTTCTTTTTTTTTTTTCATTTATAACACACATGGTAGTTTTAACCTTCAAAATATATGAGATGACTTTTAACGTGATAAAACTGAATAAGTTAGTTTCATAAAATATTTATATTGATGAATTATCAATGAAGAAAAAAAGAAAATCGTCATAGGAAATCAATCTTTTTGTCACAAGAGACATTCTTGTGATTATAATTGACTTGACTCAAGCGATTTGTACAAAAAAGAAAAAATAATATAACGCTTGAAGCGATAGACAATCTATAATTGAAAAATATCGATTTGATATACTTGTTTTTAATAGGATATCACTTTTCTTTTTACCGTAGTTATATTGTTGTCGCTTAATTTCATGCCATGTTATTGTAGACGGATATCTATCACATCTTATCGGTACCCATACATAAGGTTTTAATGAGCAATAATTACACATCGTAATTGAAGTATTATTTAACATAATAATAATGATATCTTTTTATGTAATTAATATTAACTCACTCATATCTTATTCGGGGCTCTTTTTTTTTGTGTTATGTTTTGTCGACTAGTCATTTTTGTCGTATCACTTGTCGCCATCTCAATTATTTCAGGGACGATCATTGATACTTTTCTTTATCATTACAACGGATTTTACAATTGACTATACTCTTTTTTCTCCTTCATTATTCATAAGAATATAAATACAAACATAACATCTAATAAGGTCAGAACACTGATAATGATGAATATACACACATATTAAGGTGTATCATCAACCTTGATAGACGAACACAATAGACTAGCAATTTTTGCCTATCAAAATATTTGTAGTAGTAGGTAGGTACCTGTGCTGACGTCAAAAGTTACCTTCAATCTGTCTTTCATTGTAACACGTACAATATAAAAGCGAAGAAAAATCTCCGATTTTTTTTATTTGCTTCAAGTGAATATTCATACGAAAGAAAACGATAAAAGAAATAGCAAACATATATATATATATATATATATATATGATTCTAATTAGATCATTTTTCAATATTTTACTAATCACTATGATCATTTACACACGTATTTAGTATTGAAATATTACTTTTTTTCTTTTCTTATTAAAAACGTAACTACAACGAACACTAAATTCGACCTTATGTTATATGCATGTGTTTATTTGTCACCTAAACTTCGTATGCATACACAAATGATGTTGTAATGAACTAGCATATACATACAAGGACTTTTCCTTCTCCTTCCTTTTTCCTACTAACTATCATGACGATGATGCAATCGAACTAGTGCACATATACTTAAAGAAATTGAATCTGATGGAAGATTAACAGGAGACAATGTCAACGACGATATGATATTCAATATCATACATTTCTAAGTTCTCAACTTACTTGCTGGTATAGTACAACAGATGTCGGGTAATAGAAGCAACTGAGAATCTCCAGGCAATTGATGAGTATAATTAGGTGATGTACAAGATGGTGAATTAAGATTTTTTTTAATTGTAACATAGATTGTATGACAAAATGATAGCGCATCAACATCTGAAGTAATAACCTTCTTCGATATTGGTTGTTTAGTTGATGTTGGAAAGACTGATGGTGATGAAGAAGAAAGTGGTGGATTATTTAATAGAGATGAATTTATTAAAGATGATGTTGATGATGATGTATACTCTTTTCGTTTATCAAAATAATAAAAAGAGTCTTGTTGATGCTGTTTATATTGTTGTTGGTGGTGGTGGTGGTGTTTGTGTTGATTAAATGTATTATTCATTTGACGAAGAAGAACTTGTTCTTCGTACGGTGAATAATAAGGTATTAAATTTTCATAAAACATTTTAAAAAATAAATACGAGAAGAGGAGGATTGAACAATTTTCCTCTTATCTTAATTAATCAGTTTTTTTTTAATAATAATAAATAATGTTCGATTGAATAATAATAGTAATAGTAATAAAAGCGAATAGGTAGAAAAAACACAAGGAAGAAATAATATAATTAGAATGCAACAAGTAAATAGGTATTGTATTTAAATAATCAAATAATCGTCTTATTATTGATGCATAGACGCTTTCAGTCTGTCTATATATATACTGAATTGTACTAGGCAGGAGTCCATAGAATATTAAAGAAGAGGTGGTAATTTTGACAATCATGCGCGCGGGCGCGCCACTTTAAAATGCATCGTATATTTCGAACAACGTTCGGTATACCAGAACGCAAAGAGAAAAAAACTGTATATGCATATACGTATATACTTTATCACTCTCTTTCTCTGTATAGTGTGTGCAGTATGGTGAACTGAGCCTTTAATGATGTTACATAAGATAGAATAGCCAATGGAGTATAGTGTGAAAAATGAAATCAATTTTGTTTTTCTTACTGCCTGAATACAACGTCTTTTTCGTGCTTCATATAATGATCAAAACGAATGCATACAAATATATCGTTTGAAGATAACATTTCATTACTAATGAACATATATCATATAAGTGAGGTTTCGCGAAAAGAAAAACGAGAACAAAGACGAAGAGATAAAACGAATATTAAAATAATAGTCTTATTTCTTTTAAAAGGATATACACTATTCTCTATGAGGTAAATAATAGAAACCTTATTAATAATTATTATCTTAATATCTTATTGTCAATGTATTATACACTTGATATATATAGAAATGAAATTTTTCTTTTTAGAGACATTATTTTATTTTTTTTACCTTGAAATAAGTATACGGCAAATGTTGAACATACAGATGACATTGGTCAACCTTCAGTAGTTATTTAACATAGATTTGATTCACGTGAAAAAAAAGCGAAATCCTATTTTGTCTGGCTTAACAATAATTGAAAAAGGATGAATACAAATTTCTGCTTACTTAAAACAAAAGATGTATATTCGATTTTTTTTCTTCATTCCTCATCGGATTGATTGTGCAAATAGACAGATCTATTTTTATTCTATTATATCACACACACACACACACACATATATATATATATATGTATCGAAGTACGAATAAGATACTACTCAATTGAATTAGATCAGCTTACAAACCTCGATTGAGCTTGGGATGTTTCCATTTAAAATAGTACATTTAATAAGAATATGATGAGTCGACTTGAACTGCACTGTATAGTGATATGATACATACAGACAGTGAAGAGTGCACAACGGTAATTGATAAATAAAAGAAAAAAGAAGAGGAGAAAAAGAATAGAGCGCATAACATCATCGATTCACTCGAAATTGACATGTCAGGTAGACGATGACGACATTGTATTATTTTAAATAGGATGAATGTCTCGTCTTCTCATAGTATAAGAGTCAAACAATAATTATCATTTGTTTTCCGTATCTACACACATCACACACATAAACACATATATGTATGTATAAAAATATACAGACATAAATCTCCTTTATTCTCTATTTGAAGGCTTAATGTTCTAATTGGCTACTGCCGACAAAATAAAGAGCATGAATCTACTTAAAGAGAAAGAATAGAAATTCCTACCATAACATAACAATAACAATTAATCCTCATTCAAATATTCGAGCTAATTATCAGAGAAACAAAAATTTTTTCTTCACGCGCAAAGCCAAGGTTTTATCTCTTCAATACTAAATTAAGTACGTGCAAATAGGTATTTTTTATCGTTGATAATGATGATCATCAGTCAAATATATATATATATATATATATGTTCGTATGAACGTGACACTCATCAAAACAAAAAAATGTCATTAAATTAATGTTTACTATATAAAATTGTACGACATGTAAATCTAATAGATATCGGTCAGATTACTACTGATGATCATTTGAAAAAAAAAAAAAAAAAAAATTTTTTTTTTTTTGATTATGAATAAATCACTAGAATTGCAATAACAATGTCAAGGACAAGAGGAAAAATCTTGATATATTTTTGAAGTATTTTACCTTTATGTACAACAATGGATTGTGATGGCGGAGGTGGAGATGATGATGGATGTGGTTTTCGAAATCGTCGAAAAAGACGCATTGTAAAAAATATAATTATTGAAACGAAACAATCCGATTGTTATTACTAATACCGATAGGAAAGAAAAGTTGCTGATCAGCTTTTAGTTCGACCGATATATGTATATGTATGTATGTGTTGTTGTGGCGAGTGCGATGAAGAGAGAGGAGAGAGAGAGAGAAATAGATGAAAATGCAGAAGAGAAGAGAAACGTAATGTGTACATCTATGTACAGAATAAGAATAAGAAGACAGGAGAAGAGAAATAGAGCAGAAGTGAGGTAGAAGTTTGTCATTTTTTTCCTTTCTTTTTTTTTAGCTATTTGTGTGAGACATATTATACACTAAACAAGGTCGGTCAGACTATGATTCTTGTTCACACACACACGTCCCCGATAATACAACGCTTGATTGAACGCACACGTCCTCGATCAGTTACTCTATAATATATATATATTATCATATTATAAAGCAAAAATTATATTGGTATATCATTTCTAAAAATCGATTTCTAATGCGTTGTCAAGTACATGTACTTTAATAATCTATTATATCATTAGATGAGCTTTTCCTTTCTTTTTCTCCTCTGATGTTATTCTATAGACAAAACTATGTCTCTATCTTTGGACTAAGTGAATTTCCTGCTGAGTGACTTCTTTTGTCAACAACAATAATAATCGGACATGATTTATATATGTCTCATGTCGATAAGAACCGATATATTGATGGATGATGATTACAAACGACTTAGCGCACTGATTGAAAAGTTCACTGTTCACAATCTAGAATAATATGTTATTAGATTAACTTACATTTTTGTTGTTGAGCAAAAGCTTCAAGTTCTTGAATACTCTTCTTTAATAAATCATTTTCAACAAGCATTTCTTCAAGTCGTGCATTTAACATTGTTTGTAATTGCATAGCTTGTCCAATAGTTTCATTTGATGGTACAGCTATACTGCTGCGTTTTTTTTCAATTCGTTGTTGCATTGTTTCAAGTTCATCCGTTTTTATTTGTAAATCACGTCTCAATTGATCAATTATTTGTTGAAGAGCATGAACATTCGAATTTTCATTTTGTACATCATTCAACAATGGCTGTTGTTGTTGTTGTTGTGCAGGACGTTTAATACGAAAAAGACTAAAACGACGACGTAATACAGATGTTGATTGAAGTAAAGGTTGGACTGATTGACCATTTTTTGTATCAAAACCATTTAATACTGTTTGAGATTTTTTCATTTTAGTTGTTTTATTTGTTTGTTTTTGTCCTTGATGTTCAATATTTGAACCGATTTCTGATAAAGATTCGGAACTTTTACTGAGAAATTTTGATGATACAATTTGATAATAATTATGGGATGATAATCTATTTGTTGCCATTTATTACGTATAGAAATTATAAGTAACCTAGAAGAAGAAGAAGAAAGAAAAAAATAAGTAGAAGATAGAGAAATAAATATCTGAAGATTTTTTTGAGAAAAGAACACTTATAACATCATTAGTTTTGAAATCGGAATAAGATTAGATTAGTCAAGGAAAAGAAGTCACACACACACATACTAAAATAATACGAATAAACAAATGAATGAAGGAATAATTACTGCAAAAGTACTCATCATCATCATCATCGTCGTCGTCTTCTCTTTCTCTAGAACAATTAGTGAAATAGGATCAACTGAACAGATGGTTTCTTATATATGTATATAGGCTTTCACAATTATGAGCATGCACTATACATAGAACGTGTTATAATCAATCTGTGAAGTATTTTCTTTTTCTTTAATATAGAATATATGGCTTCTCTTCTACTATCAAGATCAGTCATACACCTTATTCAATATATATATGCATTCTACTGATGACACAACTCAAAATGCTTCCAATACCACATCTATACATAACACATATATATATATATATATATGTATATAAAGAATAGGTCATCATCATCATATTCATCACTTCATTAAACGTATCCATACGATGCTTGTTTTATAAATCTAATATAAAAGCGAATGGACATCGTCCATGAAGTTTGCCAACATATAAAGCGCGAAAAAAGACACTGTACTCTTTTGTATACATACGTATATAAAAAGCAAACAAGATGATCTCTACTATAACCTTGTATATATATATATATATATATGGTATCTCATTTACTGATAAGTAATGCATACAATATACATACCTGCTCCACCTCTCTCAATCACGACAATATCTTTTTTTTCTTTTTTTCAAAGAATCTTAAGGAGATATGTACGCTCATACAATTAGATATTCTATATGTTTTGATCTCGCTTACTAGTTTGTATGATGAACATATGTTCTCATTATAATCATCGTACCCGACAATAATCGTGACGATAGAAGTAGAGAAAAAGCTATGAACCGTAAAACAACTGTACATAGTAATTAGCGTGGATAGAAATGCAGAGAGACAGAGAGTGAGAGAAGCAGAATAAAACGAAGAGAAAATTAAGATGATTTGTAGACAAATAACTATTATGCTAGTCTATATACTTCAAAAGGATACCGCAAATCACATACTGTGCCTAGGGAAACAATTCGGACAAAACTAATATGACCCGTGAGGCGTACAAGTAAAAGACGGAAATAGACTTAACTTCTTCTTAGTCTCAGTGATCCCAATCAAATTATAACGCTGATAATACCATCATTGCATTTGTATTACGTCAAAATTATGTATCATTTGTTTGTCCTCTATACTAACTATTTCTCGTTTACATTCTTAATTCAAGGAAAAAGCACTTTGATATCTGAATATTTGATCGTAACATCTTACTAATTTTTGAACATCAGATCATTTATTAATGTACATTAAATAAATCAACAAAAGAAGAAAAGATTGAACATGATGATTACCATTGACAAGAGAGATTGACCATACACGACCTTTCTAACAAGTAAAAATCATAGATTAGTACTACTACTAAACATTATTTGAAGTAAATGACAAACTAGAAATGATCTCGAGCTAGAAAATAAGCACGTATTCATGTACATGTCTCAACACTAGACGATAAAGAAGTGAGAAAAGAAAAAATCAATCACGAGAAAAAAAGAGCCCCATGCCTTTTCTTATATATAAATGTTATGTATTTAAAGAATTAATTAAGACTTTCAAAGTTGTCAATAAAAATTATTATATACCTTCATTGAGAATTTCCAAGGTTATTAATCGTTTAATAATATATCCAATAAACACCAATTACTATGTTAAATAAAAATTTCTGAATTCAATCTACGAAAAGAAAATAAATAAATAAATCATCAGACACTATAATCAACGCCACTATGAACACTATCATTTGTTCTTTCTCTCATATATAAAGAATATAAGAAGAAAATGAAGTGTTTTAACCCATGTCGATGGCATATACCAGAAATTGTACACGTGTGTGAACGACACAAAGAAAAGAAAAAGCAATGATGAATATTAAAAAAGAGAGAACCGTGAATAGCAAATGTACAACAGAATAATAATTACCACGTCAAGCTAAATGAAAAAAGGAGCAGCTGCTTCTATTCTCAACTGACCAGACGACATATTCATTGTACAAAAAAAAAACTTTAAAAAGGACAAAAAAAATGAGGATAAAGAAAGAAAAGACGATACAAAAGGTCATCAGTCGTTCATCGAAGAGTTTTATGTTTACATATGAAAAGGCATATACACACACACACTTATATGGATAAAAATCAATGCGCACGCAAGACAATCTAATCATTTGAAGTAAGAAGATTTTCTTTTTCTCTTTTTTGACTTTTATAATGTGTTTTATTTCCTCTTTTCTATTTCACAAGGTATACTTGAACGTTCATTCAATATTACTGTAGTTATTATATCGAGAGAGAGAATAAAGTAGGTAATATGTATCTAAAAGTAAATAAAAAAAAAAAGTTCATCTATTCAAAGATTTGATGATATAACAGTACTTAAAAAGGTATTGAATAATATAGATCAAAAATTCTCAGCTGGACTTTTCCTATCAAAGTTATACTTAGAAATAATGCGCTAGATTCAATTTCTTTTTTTTCTCTCTCTCTCTTTGAATGAATTCAATTTTGAAACTATCTTTTCGACAAACCGAAAATCTTCTTCGTCTAACAAAAACAATTGTACATGCATATCAATTACAATATATACTTGTCAATGATAATACAAATGATCAATGTTCATTTTCATATGATTTATGTAATGAACTTCGATTTATACAAAAACATTTACATTCCACTTGTTTTTTACTTCAACAAGCACTCTATCGTATTCAAGCATTAAGACAAGTACGTGCCGATTTACCTATTCGAATTGATCAGAATATTTTTATTAAATACGAAGAAAATCTTTCGTACGAATTAAAAAATATTCAAGAAATTATTTTATCAATAATTAATGAAAATATGTTAATAGATTCACCTTTAAATACTCTACAAATCTTATATAAAGAAATTCAAGAAAATTTCGAAATATTTCTTGATTATATCTATGCAAATCCGATACATAAAAGTACGGTATTTGTAGGAAATTTAGTATCGAATACACTTGAAAGATTTTATTTAATTCTTGGTACACTCGCTCGACTTGTTACAGAAATAAAATAAACAAAATTAATCTTCATTGTCATTAGTTTGAACATTAAGAATATCATAGATTGTATTATCAGCTATTGTTCGAGCTAATTCTTGTACAAGTTTATCAAATTCCGGTTCATAATTTTGTGGAAGTTCAATTCCTTTTCGAATCTTTAAGACAAAAAAAAAATAAAAATTTTATCAGTGTAAAAATATACTTTTGCTTTTTTTCGAAGATTCGGTGATAGTTTTAAACAATTAGTCCAACCTCTGAAAATAATCGAAATAAATCGAAAAGAAATTTTTGTTTTGTAAATTTACGTTTCATCACCAGCTAATAAAATCGGATGAATTGAATTAAATGCAATTTTTGTACATGTTTTTCCTAATTCATTTGTTAAAAGTTGTTCACAAATTGGTTCAAGTTTATTTGAATGAATATCAAATATATAAACTTTACCATCAGCTCCAGCAACAGCAAATAAAGTAGATGTAAATGGTGACCAACAAATATCTTGTAGACTTGTACATAAATCAAATCTCATTAAACACTCACTAATACAATATCAAAGAAGGAATTTATATTTTCTAAAGCAAAAAATATTTACGCAAGTTTTTCATGCCATATTTTAACTGTACTATCAGCAGAACATGAAGCAAAAATATTCGGATGAAAAGGACTAAAGGGAAAAGGTTTTAAAAACAAATTAAAATCATATTACCTCCATTGAATAGAATAAACAGCGAAATCATGTGCATCATATGTCATATCAATTATTCCTGGGTCATTAATTGATGCTTTATAAATCTTTCCATCTTCTGTACCAACAAGAAATATATCTTTTTGATGATGATGAAAATCAAGTGCCAATGCCGGACCTATGTATAATCATACTTGTGAAAAAATATTGATTTCTGAAAGAAAATAAAAAACCTGGTATTGTTAGAAGAGTACCATCATCAAGTCGTGTAGTTTTTGTTGCACTTGGTAAATCTAATAAGAGTACTTGTCTTAATTCACCTTTAATACATGTCCATCGTAGTAATTTTCCATCACTACCAGCTGAACAAAAACGAGAATATTGATCAGTCGATGAAGTACACCATTGAACCTAATTCATTTTATTTGAAGAGGAAGACGTTTTTTTATACATACCTGCCATACACATCCAAGATGTTTACACATATAAGATAAATTTGTAAAAACAGCTTTACCAGATGGTACAGATATATCATAAACAATTACATCACCATCCATTAATCCAACACAAATAAGATATCTAGAATAATTACGAATAAGAATTATGTTTATCGTAAAAGATAGATATATTACGGTTTTGATGATAAGCAATCAATAGATAAAACAGTACTTTCAGTATGAATTAAATTATTCGGATGATTATTATTAAGTGTAAATACAGCAATAGTACCTTGAATTCGTTCAGCACAATCATCTGAATGAAGAAGATAGAAAACTTGTCTAGTATATATATAAAATCATACAAAGTCCATATCCTATGATTAACATATCCGAATAAGTTGGATTCCATGTTAATGCAGTAACAGATCGATTTGGGTAGGGTGCTGAAAATTTCCATAATGGAAATAATGTACCCATTGGATCACGTATTTCATCGGATTTATCTTCGAAATATTTGAAATTAAATATTAATTCATGATATCGATTTTGATTTAATACACGTTCAATTGCTTTTAAAATTTGTACTTGACGACGTTTAGTAATTACCTTTAACGAAAAACAAAATTCTTTGTTTTGTTTTAATTATTATTTTATTATACTTCTGGTTTAAGACGATCTGCTTTAATAATTTTTTTCTCTAATAAACTTTTTGTTGGTCCATAATTTATTTTTTGTTTTCGTTTATCTTTATCATTTTGCTGAAAAAAAAAGAATTTATTTTCCAAAAGAAAATTATTATCTATACTTGTTTTGCATAATCAATAGCATATTCTTCATAGATTATACGTTGATTTGCTAAACCAACAAATTTTTTATATGGGATAAAATCAGCAAGAGTTGTAACATCCTAAATCGAGGTTTATACATATTGTATGAGAAAACAATAAATAAACTTTTTTTGGTGATGAATATGTTTGTATGCCTTGTTCACAATAATTAAAACGATTGAGTATTTTCTTAGATTTTTCAGTTTGCATTTGTGACATTGATATCTACGATTCAGATTTTAAGTATATCGAAAGATGATTATTATTATTTACTGAATCATCAATGGGTTCATTTATTGTTCGTTGTTCATCTTCATCAACTGTTTGTTGTAAAGCTATAGAATAACATGAATTATACAAGTACAATATTTAGTCTTTTACATTCGATGTTTTCATCCGATTTTTTTATTTCTATTGTTGATTCTTTTTTAGTTTTATAAACATCAAGTAATGCTGTTGGAAGAATTTGTGTTCCATCTGAATGGAATCGTTTTTTTCTATTATTTTATATATTATTTTTAATACAAACAATATTTTTCTTTTTGTAAATAATTTTTAGCTTCATCAGAATCAATTGGTATAAGATTTCCTTCATATGAATAATGTATAGTTAATTGTTCGGGATTTCCTAATGGTACAAATTGTTTCTCCTAATCAAATAAATATTTATTTCTATGATAGAATTATACATTTCAATTCAGTATACCAACACGATGACTAAACATAACTAAATTTTTCGATCCATGTGGATTTTCTGTTGTTAAAATACGTGTAATTTCTTCATCAGGATCAATTATATCTGTAGATGATAGAAAACTTGTATGCTAAAGATATGAAATTCTCTTTTATTTCTATTCAATAATATCAAACAAACACTATTATCATTGTGATTATGTTCATCATCATACAATTTCGTAGAACCGATCTAAATATTCAAAATTCTATCACATATTGTTTACCTTCAGAGGACTCACAATATCCTACAGGAAATAATCAAGATTTTTTTTTCGATAAATTCATATGATAGAAACTTACATCATTGATCTGTTGTAAAGAATTCATTTGTTATGATATTTTATTTAAAAGTAAAACATTACGATGGATATTACACTGTTTAACTATAGATTTCAAGCGAATGAGTAAGAGAGAAGAAGCGCGCGAAAGAAAAATGTCTTATTGAACATCGTGAGAAAAAGACAAGATATATTGCTATAATGATAGATAAAAGTATTCGAAAGTATTTATTTAACTTGTAGTAGGAATTGGTGTTGTACTTGTTTGTTGTGTTGGTACACCTTTACTTTTTACATCATCCGGATCACGAATTAATGCAAGAATTTTATCTAATTTAACACTTTCACCTTCTGTTCCTTCAGCAACATCTTGACCTTTTTTAACTTTTGGTTTTTTACGTAAATTAGGCGAAAGTTTTAATGATATAACATTACCACGATCATCACCTGCAAGTATAATCGGATGATTACGATTAAATGTAATATGTGTTAATTTTGTACGTTTTTTTTGTACAACTATTTGTTCAGTAAGTGGTTCATATTTATTAACATTTAAATCAAATACAAAAACTTTTCCATCAGCTGTACACGCAGCAAATACTGTTGATGAATAAGGTGCCCATGCAATATCACCAACAGCACTACCAAGATCATAAGTAAATAATGGTACTCTATAATTTACCATAGGAACAATAAATAAATGAAGATTATGAGATCATTTCTTACTTATAATTGATGTCCCATACTTTGACGGTCCAATCAGCTGAACAACTAAGAAAAATTTTTGGGTGAAATGTATTCCAACGTACTGCATAGATAGCCATATGATGTGCATCGAATGTATCCAAAAATTGATTATTATATGATTTTGAACATTTATGAATTTTTCCTTCTTCGGTACCAACAATAAATAAATAATCTTGTTGTTTATTAAAATCAAAACATGTTCCACAACCTTCAATTAATCAAATAAGAAAAATTAACAAAAGAAAAGAATTTTATAGACATACCAAGTGTAGCTAATGGAAGTGTTTCATTAGGTTCAGTTGCTGGTTTCTCTAATTTTAATTGTACAATATCAGCGTACATTAAATCACTCTAATTAAAAAATTTCGTATGAAAAAAGATAAATAAATAAAATTTACTTTAACTAAAGTCCAACAGACAACACGACCATCGGATGAAATTGAATAAAAATTAAGATTTCCATCTAAATCATCTTTTTGCCATCGTACTTGCCAAACAGGATCTGTATGTTTTCCATTACGAGCTGTACTTTGATATTTAGGTCGTTTCTGTTCATCTGCAACATTATAAACAGCAACTGACCCATCATAAAAACCTATAAAATATATAACGAATAATTTTCTTCGTACAAAAAACAAATTAATCTTCAATTACCACAACAAAGTAAATTCGGATGATGATGATGGAAATCTAAACACATAACACCGCTTTCCGTTTGAAAAATATATTCCGGAAAACTTGGATTTTTTAATGAATAAACTAAAAACATTCCACGAGTTTGTTTAAGAAAATCATCTACAAAAAAACAATAAATTATGAAATTAAATAATAAAATGACATACATGAACCAAAAGCAACAGCAAATAAATCTGAATATTGTGAATTCCAAGCTAAATTTGTACAAGCCAATTTTTTTGTTAAATCATATTGAAATATCCATAATGGTAAAAGACTTCCTTCTTGTTCGCGATATTCATCAGCTGCATCTTCCCAATATTTAAAATCTGTATATAGATAGATAAATATGAAATTATTTCTTAAGAAATGAAAAATAACCTTGAGCGATATCATCAAATGTATTTTGATTAATCATTCGTTCAATAATTTTAAGTGATATACTTGCTGATTTGGAACGAGCAAATTTAGCCATATCATCACCCTATTTAATAAAAATAATATATGTATATAATATATGTTTTTTTCTATTTACTGATAAATCGGTAGCAACAAATTTTTTCTTTCTGTCATCATCTTTTTTTGTTGAACTCTTCTTATTTTCTTTTTCTTTTGCTTTTTGCTAAATAGAAAAAAATCAACAAGTTAATATTTAGTTTTAATTATGTTATACTTGTAAATCAAAATCTTCATTATAAGCATCAAATATTGCCCATTGAGAAACATTATCAGAGAAAACAGCACGTGGAGTTTGTTCAACAAATGTTTCTCGATCCTAAGAATAAAAAATATATAACAATAATTTATTTGAAATTTTTTTTTAATTTAATACTCGGCATGGGTTATTATATGTTTGAGATGCACGTTCGCTAAAATTAAATTGATTTGTTAATTTTTTTGTTTTACCATTTGTTGCACTCGATTCAACTGGTTTTTCATCATCTTCATCTTCACCATCCTGCGTTGTTTTTTCCTTTTAAAAAATAATATATATCAGAAAATTAATTTTTTTGGGTAGAATTTACTTCGGTTGATTCAGCCTCAGGTGTCGATGCTTCATCTTCTTCTTCGATTGTATATTCTAATAATAATAGATGAAAATAATTTTATTCTATATTAATATTTATTAACCTCCGCCATCGCGTGCAACTTGTCGTCGACCTTCATCGGAATCTCGAAGAATAAGATTGCCATCAAGTTGAAAATGAACAGCTAATTGGTCAACATGTGGAATTGGTTTAAATAATCGATCCTTAATTAAATTAGATAGATATTATTAGTTTGTAATTATAATTTACTTTGTAACTATATCGAACAATATTTTCTGCTGCTTGAGGATTGCGTGCTGTAAGAATTCGAGTATGTTCTTCATTTAATTCCTAAACGAATTCAATTTTTCTATAAAATAATTTTTAAACTGAAAATATAAAATACCGCTTCAGTCAGTTTAAGTTGATCATCAGGACGAACAGGTCGAAGTGCCTAATTGAAACCAATCAAAAACAAAAAGAACGAACAAAAAAAACAATTACCTCATCGGACAAATCAGGCATATTACCAAAATCTTGTTCATCATCCTATAAAATTATATTTCAGTATTCTTCATGTCTATATATCTTCTCATACTCGAAAATTTCCCATTATTGAATTACGTGGTAACTGACTAATACGCCTTTGAGCTGCCACTGATCCATTGATAACTGGTTGAACCTAAGATAAAATAAATTTCCATATATACAGCGAAAATATCTTCCTAATAAAACTTTTACAGGTTTTTTTTCGACACCACCTTTATTTGGCATGTTTGTTCTCGAGTAACTAATATAAATGACAATCACAACACTTTATTCCATTACCATCGTCATAGCTCTAGGCAGTACATAGCAACAGATCAATTACATGTTACATATAGATGTCAGTTAACTTTTAAGTGTTATATAATTTTATTGACATTAGAAAAAAAGAGAAATATTTATATTACAAAGAAATCGTTTTTTTATTGTTTAAAATATTTTCTTGCAATATCATCACCACTATAATAATTATGATTTTCGAATGTATTTTCGAACATTTTTATTTTTTTCGTTGTTCCATCGATTTCGCAGACGACCCAAAAATTTGCTTCAGGTTGATTAACAACTGGAATTTGAATAATTTGATAAGGAATCGATGAATTTAAGGCTTCACCATCATTGAATGTAACTGTCGCTCCTGAATTAACTAATAATGCTTCACGTGTGTATCGATGAACAACATAAAGATATTTTAAATTCGGTTGAAGTGTTATTTTAATTGTTTCAGGACCATTACCATTTGTAACATCACAATCAAGTGAAACATTTCCTTGACATTTCGATCTAAAATAAACATGTCGACCATCCGATACATATACATGTGAATCAAGATCACGTGGTAATAAACCCCATTTAAGTACGATTTCTAATTGATTACTTTCTAATTGTCGACAAATAAATTGTGTATTTATATCTGGCCCATAATTTTCATAGACAATCATTCGAAATATCGATGATTTATATTTCGCATGACCACTATTGATTTCAACATCATAACAATTTCTTGGTAATGTTGTTGGCATATGAACAGTACCTGTTGAATCTGTTTTACCAGTAAAAACAATTTGATCACCTAATTTTATCATAACAGTTGCATCAACAAGAATATTATTAACCGAATCACGAAGAACAAATTTTTTTGGCATACATATCTCATGTTCGGGTACAACATTAACTAATGTTTCAACAAGAATATTTTCAGATTGTTGATCATAGATCATTACTGTATATTTGCCATAATTTTGAAAATTATATTTATCATCGAGAACTGGTTGTATAGCAATACTATCGATATCTGGATGAATAACAGCTGGAAATAAAACACCAGTTGAACCTTTTGGACCATCGATTGCTGTTGCAACAGGTACTATATTTGAAGAAGCACCACTATTTGCTGGTAATGGCAGAATCGATGGTGTCATTGAATCGATTGTAGGAATTGTAGAAGATGAAGAGTTAGGGGAGACTAATGAAATTTTTGGTATATTGGATGGTAGATCAAGTAATTGATTTTGAATGGTAGAAGATAACTGATTAAATGAATTAATCGGTGGAGGTTTTTTATTTGTTAACATTTGTAATAAAAATTCTTCAATTTGTTGTGCCTAAAAACAATGTTTATTATATAAGATTTCATAATTAAATTTATGTATATTTTACTTGAGAATTAATTGTTAAAACAAGTGATTTTATTTGTTCAGTTTGTTGTTGAATTGTATGTAGAAGTTGAAGTGGTCCTTCACATTTTTGTTTCATTTCTTTAAGATCAATATTTGATTTTAATGAAATCTTAGCATTACTAATAATGAATATAAAACAAAAAAATAAATAGATTGAAAGATATTATTTATACTTTCGTAATGTTCGTAATGCTTTTTTAAATTTCATTTGAGTACCTAATGGTGGAATTAGTTGGTTTATTATATTATCATTAAGTCCATCGACTTCGTCAATTAATACAGAACCATCAATTTCATTTTCTATAAAATAATAGGTTTCTTTGTTTTTTTTTTAAATGAATTTTACTTCGAAAATTGTCAATATATGCTTCTAATGATATATCATTCAACCATCGTATAACATCATCAATACTCCAATCTGAAGGACTGCTAAGATCTAATGTATGAGTATATGCTCGCATCGATGATGTTAATATCGAATTTTCAATATTATCATCAGGCAAATGTCTATAATAAAACCAGATGATTTCTTTAATCATCTATTTAATTGTAATACTTACTTCATACAATAGAGTATATTTTTATCATCATATCGCATTGTAGCATTGTCTGCAGTTAATTGTTGATAACATGTTTTACAATGAAAACATTTTTTATGCCAACTCTGTAGTAATAAAGAAAAGATTTTGTAATTTTTTTCATTAATTAAATTTACTTTATGAAAAAAAGTAATATTATCAGATGAATCAATTGAATTCGAACATGCAGGACATAATAATTCTGTAGATGAAATGGTCATTTCATATAAATAAATCTAGTCTTATTCTTTCGAAAAATGACTGATTTAATAAAGACGATAGAAAAAAAAAGTTTATTTTGTTGAAAATGACAACAAGGACAGAAAAACAGTAGAAAATGAAATTCAATAGTTCTGATTTTGCTGCATAATCAAGAATATGAAAGAAAAATAATAATAGTAACATCATTTTTTTTCTATTTTTTTTTGAATGCAATATACAAGTGCATCTTTATATTGACTTAGGAATCATTAGAAAAATGTCATTCCAATGATCAAAGACTTATTTTTTTAATGTTTTTATGAAGTAGATCGTCCATTAAATAATGTTGAGTGTTATATCAACATTTTATTTCAAACATATTTGACAAAAACAACAATAATATGTAAAAAAATGTGAATAAGTTATTCAATAAACATTATCGATCAGTTTATTCTCAGGTACTTACCAAGTACTAAATAGGAAGTACATCATCTATTAAAAATACAAATGTACTTAATGTGAGCAGAAAGTATATTACATTTTTAAATGATAAATTATTTTATCTTCATAGTGATTACATACTACTACTAAAAAAACTTGTTGAGGCCACAAAAATGTTGTAACTATTTTAAGAAACTTATGTCTGCTTTTTTCTCTCTCGATGCAAATAGTTTAGTTGTTTTTGATAATTTCGAATTATATGAATATTTATAAATGGTCTCGTCAGCATATAAGCGCACCCAAAAATAGAACAGTACTGACAAGTCTGACTGAAAATAAAATACCTTAAGACTTAATGATGATAATAATGTAACAGATCTTGATGAAATTAATAAAAATAAATTGAATATGTGATAGTTTTTATTAGTTAATATAAAATAAACTAAAGCGTTCAGCACATCAAGTGCCATTGTCAATAGTAATTTTATCAAGATCTGTTACATTATTATCATCATTATTTATAGTTATACAGACAAATATACGTAGTGATCTATTAATTATATATTTGTTACTTGTTGGAGAGATATATAATTGTAGTTCATTATTTTTACATTACAGTATTATTACTTTGTTTTTTACTACTGACGATGGCACTTGATGTGCTGAAAGCTTTAGTCTATTTGATATTAACTAATAAAAACTATTACATATTCAATTTATATTTCCTTAAGACTTATATTGATAAGTTCAAAATATACTTACTTCTCTAATTCATATTTTTCTACACAAGCTTTTCATACAGATGTGCACTGTCAGTATCCAATCTGGGATTGTAGGGGAAACTTTACTTAAAAGTTGAAATTACCCTTTAAGTACCATGGCTCAGCGAATGGATGAAACTTTGCTAGGACTTTATTTTTAACATGTATATTGTATGTTGTGAATATTTTCATCGAAACTTTTTAAAAAACTTTCGAAGTCATTTTCGATCAATACCCGTACACCCCTACAGCACGCTAGTATTTAAAGGCTTATTAAAATGATAAATACTGCGCGAATACACGCATCTACATGTCCTCTATGCCACAATGGCAAGTGCACTTCGATATTGTTTCGCATTCGTAAATTATTCAGAATTTGTCAAGTTCTAAAAAAGTGGGGCTTTTAGGCCCCGTTAGTACTTAAAGGGTTAATCTCGAGATCCAAAGTTAATTTCAAAGTTGAAGAATTATGAGCAGTTTTCCACAAAATCTGGTCTTGTGTATAAAACTGTTTATAACTTAATCGATTCAAGCTTAATTGATCAGGTGATGCGTGTATAATATAAAAACTTGTCGCCTTATCCCAGTAGATCACTTTGATATTGATTTAGTACGAAATTGAAGTTTTGATGATACTTTTTTTGTTCAATTCAACATTGGACGCTTATATACATATACGCATGTAATTACTTTCATTTGTATTACTTATTTGCGAGAAAATAGTTCTTTTTACGGATTAAGTACTTCATGAAATTATATGAGAGTTGAAAGTCAATCATTACTTAATAATAGTATATTATTTATTTTGATAAATTATCAGATTCAGATTAATAAATGAATAACAAATTATATTTACTTTCAGCCTAGTTTTTTTTCTATTCTTTTATTATCAAACTATTCAACCATATCGTTTACATGTATCTAAATATATATTTAGTCAGATGTCGATAGGTATAGCACATGTTGTACATAAAATAAAATATCATTTGGACATATTAGAAGCGAAATAAATATTATAAATAAACAATACATTATCAAAACAACAGCTGATAAATGCTGGTATTCAAAGAAGTTATTATTTATATAGCGATATTTTATTTATGAAAAATATCAATAGAACACCCATAGTCTACTAGAAAGCGAAGGATTCTATAGAAATACTTAGGCTACAAAAGCTATTTTCTTTCCGTTTTTTCTTTCTTATTTTGTTCTGGCCTCTCACTGGTAATTCTCGTTCACACCCACATCTTCTTTACTGTTCGACACTCATTCGCTCTGTAGAACAACTTCTTTGCTCGTTCTTCCTTTTTTTTTTTTTACCGTTTCTTTCTTTTTTCTTTTCTTCATTCCTTAATATTCACGCATATACATCATATTTTCTAATACAACCGAATAGCTATATTAGCTTTCTTTTAAGTAGTCAACATGTTAGAATTTTATCGTTCTTAATTTACATGATCAATCATCAGAAAAATTTTAAAAACAAAAAAATACTACAGCAGAATTTTTCTTTTTTTTTCTAAGTAAATCATACATTATAGAACAGAAAAGACCATGCTGCGCTATTATTTATTTACATCGTTTGTTTTATTCTTTACAGATGATTTCTGACAAATTGAATATAGTGAGAGTAAATTAATAGAAAAAAAATTTATTTTAAAATAGTGTAGTCAACTGACATCATTTTCTATGGATTGATCAATGTCATTTTTGTCCTATATATAACGATCATATAGGCTAGTATATTTTAATAATCATGACTGTTCATAAAACCTTGCATATAGAAGGATTTTTAACTACATTAAGCGACATTTTCTTTCATCTTACACATTTTTGTAAAATTTCATCGTTGATAAATAACATGTTTATATTATAGATAATTATGATTAGTTGATATTAACAATGATAACGAACCGTTCTCGATTTGTTTCACCAAATTATCAACCTAAATCTCACCATAAAAATCCTACAACAAATGAAATTGAAGATGGTGAAGATAATCCAGGTTTCTTAGAGCCTAATGATGATATTACTGAAACAAATTTGGAACAAATCCAAAAAATTGAATTGGATATTGATAATTTACATGTTGCTTTTAGTACAGCAACTTCAACAGTTGATATCAATGATCGAAAAGAGTCATTAATTTCCACCCAACCATTTGCTATCGATGAAATTGAACAAGCATCTGATGAAGAAGTAGCAGCCAATGTTTCGAATATAGATGATCCCAATATGTTAGTTTTAACATTTCGATCATGGTTTCTTGGCTTATTATTTACATGTCTTCTTTCATTTGTAAATCAATTTTTTTGGTATCGAACATCACCATTATTTGTTGGTACACTTGTTGCTCAATTATTAACATATCCATTAGGAAAAGGAATGGCTAAAATGTTACCAAAACGAAAATTTAAAATATTTCGATGGAGTTTTAGTCTTAATCCAGGACCATTTACTATCAAGGAACATTGTATCATTACAGCTATGGCAAATGCTACATGTGTAAGTTAATTCTTTGGTGAAACAATAGAAGAATATATTTTTATTTATTTTTTAAAAAATAGAGTACAGCATATGCAATTGATGTTCTTACAGCTTTACGAATATTTTATAAACGAACACTTCATCCATTAATTGGTATTATTTTTGTCATTACATCACAAATTCTAGGTTATGGAATAGCTGGCATTATGCGAAAATTTCTTGTTTGGCCATCTGCAATGATTTGGCCTGCTAATCTTGTTAATTGTGCTCTATTTCGAACTTTACACGAAGATAAAGAGGGTGTTGATATTAATGAAGAAGGAGGAAATACTGAATCACGTTGGAAAATGTCTCGTCTACGATTCTTTTTTCTTGCATCTTTCTGTCAATTTTTATGGTATTGGTTTCCTGGTTATATTTTTCCTGTTCTATCTCTCTTCTCTTGGTTATGCATGTTGAAACCAGATAATATTCTTGTTTCACAGCTTACTGGAATCAATGGACTTGGCATTGGTTCAATTGAATTAGATTGGAATGCATGGGTTTCTTTTCTTGGTTCACCAATAATTGTTCCATTCTGGTATGTCGAAAAAAAAAGGAATGTTAGTTTAATAAATAAACTTTATTTATATAGGGCTCAAATTAATATAATGATTGGTTTTGTTGCAGTAGCATGGCTTCTAGCACCTGCTACATACTATACGAATCTGTGGGGTTCAAAAGCAATGCCAATTACTAGTAATCGAGTTTTTACTTCAGATGGTTATTTTTACAATGTGTCTGCAGTACTTGATTCACGACTTCGTCTCAATGAAACTGCTTATAAAAATTATGGTACAATTATTTTTTTGAACGATATTTTCTGATTATCATATATATAATCGTTTATAGGTGAACTTCGAATGCCAGCTGTTTTTGCTATTTCATATGCTATATCATTTGCTGCAATTGCAGCAGTTATCGTACATACTATACTATATCACGGTAAGTTTATATTTCTAAAAGAAATTTTTAAATGTCATTTTTTTATATTAAGGTAAAACAATTATAAAACAATTTCGGTCATCTTTAAAAGATAATACTAATGATATTCATGCTAAAATGATGTCTCGCTATCCAGAAGCACCAGAATGGTGGTATGTTCATTTTTTTGAAAAATAAACAAGATGGAAAAGATATAATTTTGTTTGTTAAGGTATACATTATTATTTGGGATTGCATTTCTTCTTGCTATTATTGTTTGTCACGTTGGTCAGTTGATGCCTTGGTATTATCTTTTTCGTAAGTGAGATAAAGTTCGAAAAAAGTTTTTTGATCTTATTGCGTTTCTTTTGATGTACATCTAGTTGCAGTTGCACTTGCATGTACTTTTGTTCTACCAACTGGTATTGTTCAGGCTGTTACAAATCAATCGATTGGTAAAAAATAATTGTTCTCTTTTTTTTTGTTTTACAAAATTAAACTTTATTTAGGAATTAATGTTATTACTGAATTTGTTGCTGGTATTGCTATCCCAGGAGATCCATTAGCTAATGTTACATTCAAAACATATGGATACATAACACAATATCAAGCATTATTACTGATTTCTGATTTAAAATTAGGTCATTATATGAAAGTATGATTTACACAAAATAATCATAGAATTTCTAAAGATAATTCTTTAGATTCCACCACGTGCAATGTTTGCTACTCAATTAATAGGTACAATGATAGCAGGAATTGTAAATTATACGACAGCGATGTATTTAATGAATAATATTCCAAATATTTGTACAACAAAAAATACTAAATGGACATGTCCAAATGCTAATATATTCTTTAGTGCATCTATTATTTGGGGAGCTATCGGTACGTAAATTTTAATGAAATACTATTTTCGGTATTATTTAATATTGTAGGACCAGTGAAAATGTTTGGTAAAGGATCTATGTATTCAACACTTCTTTATGGTTTCATTATTGGTGCACTGCTTCCTCTACCATTTTGGTTTCTTATGAAAAAATATCCTAATGCTAAATGGCTTAAATATATTCATTTTCCAATTATGTTATCCGCGACAGGAATGATGCCACCTGCACCACCTGGTAATTATCCATCATGGCTTTTAGTTGGTTTTTTATTTAATTTTGTATTACTACGATATGCACGATCATGGTGGAAACGTTATGCATATGTTTTTTCGGCAGCAATGGATTGTGGTGTAGCGTTTTGTGTCCTACTTATATTTTTCTTCTTGCAAAATAATAGAATAGAATTTCCATTATGGTGGGGAAGTGGTGGTGTAACAGGAGATGGTTGTCCGCTATCACATGCTAATTATTCCGGAATCATTCCAAGCGATCGTCCGGTGTCTTTCGGCTGAGAAAAATCCTTAGATGTCATTCGTAAATTTATCTGTTATTTATTGTGTGTTATATTTTTTTATTTAAAAATTAATAATAAAAAATTTGTAACAAGTTGAGACTTGGTATTCATGTTGTTTTCTTTGTATAGTGTGGCAAATTTACAAAACATGCTTTCAATATATTTCATGTCTCTTTGAAAATTTCTACAATAATACTTTGATATTATCTTGAAGTATTATTGCTATCGTATTCCCTATTGTTAAACTAAATATATACGAAAAAAAAACAAGTTTATTCTGTTGTTTATCACAAAAAAACTGAAAACGACAATATCTTTTCTATTCCATGGGAAGAAGATCATTCGATGCTAAATCTCGAACCATATATATTGCTACAGCAAAAAATCCGATACTTTTGATAACATCCCTATAATATAAAAATCTATATCAGAAATATTTTTTTCTAAAAACCTACCATTTTGCTTGATCGGAATAAAATGTTTTAACATAATCCCATTTGCTTGATGATCGATTTGAACCTGTTCGACGACCTCCCATACCCGAAGATGAACCTCCATCAGATGGAACAAACATTATGTATATCTAAAACGAAAAGCAAGACAAAGTTTCGAAAGATTTCTTCACTTGCAAATAACAAAAACAGTAAAAAACAAAATACTGTTTATCTCGTTCTTTAAGTATAACAATACAAAAAACAACTAAAATTTAATCAATATCCGGTTTTGAATTGATCGAATTTGTTGATGGTTGTTGTCTTTGTCGATGGCGATGATTGAATACTCGATGTTTATCTTTACGTTGTATAGCTTTACGATGTTTTGTACGAAGAGCCTAAATAATATAAGTATATATTTTTTGCATCGATGAAAAATTTGATGTTATACTTCGCCTATTTCTTTTCGTTTTGTTGGCCATGTTCGTTCAAGTTCATTTAAATCTTCAGTACGTACAAACCCTTCTAATCCATCTAATAAAAAAACACGCCATTGAAAAGTTTCTTTTTATCCGAAAAAATTTTTTACCTTTTAATCGAACATCAATATCAAAGAAAAAGAATGTATCATTAACTAGTTGATCTTTTAATTTAGCTCTATATAAAAAACAATCAATACATCTTTATTTAATATCATAATCCTTACTGTTCTTGTTTTTCATCATCATCTTCCTCACTGGATGTATCACCAGGTTTATTTAGAAATAATTTCGATTTTCCATTTGCTATTGGTTTAGCTACTTGAGCTATTTTTATGAATAACAAAAATAATCATAGGAAAATTTTAAGAATAACTAAACGAACTTGGAGCAGGTAATGTTACTGGTTCTTGATTATTAAAAAATTGAAATTGAAACTGTCCATTTCCATTTGAAGTAGTTGTTGAATCTGATGTCTTATCAAACAATGTTTTTAATTTTGATTCATCAAAATCATAAGTTCGTTTTGAATCACTAGAAAAAAACATAAGTCATCTGTTTGTCAATTACTAAAAGAGTCTTACAGAATTGGTGTTGTTCCTATTATTCTTTTTAATATTGATTTTGGTTTCGTATTATCTGATGTATTGAAATTATCATCATTTAATTTAACTTCTGAATTAATTTCATAGATTCTATGTTCAGTTTTACTCGGATCAAAACGAATCATTTTTGTTTTTGGCTTTGGTTTGGATATAACATTTTTTGCATTTGTTATTTGATCCAAAATAGCAAGTGATTTATTTTTTTCTTCTTCAAATGAAACCTCATTGATTTCTTCTTCATTATCATCCTTATCCTCATCAATAGTTTTATCACGTTCATCAAGAAATTGTTCAGAAAATTGAAATCGTGGATCACTTGTTGTTGTTAAACGTGCTTGAAGATCTTGTAATTTTCTTTTTTTCTTCGGAATTTTATTCGTACTAAAATGTTCTTCAACATCCAATTCATCATTATCATCAAATAATTTTATTTTTTTTTCAATAAATTCTTTTGGTTGATTATTTCCATCACCGTCTTCATTATCCGAATCAAATGTATAATGTGTTTTTTTATTTAAATTATTAGTTGATGAATCTTTTATTAAACGTTTTTTATTTTGTTTCTCACGTTCATAATCTTCCAATGATTTTAAACGTTGTTCATTTGCTTTAATCGAACGTATTGACTAAGATAAATTAAAAAAAAAGTAATAAATCTTCTTCTTCTTATCAACTCATACCTTCCACACTAACTACATACTTCTATATTAGATTGTTGATTTGTCATTTATTGTTTGAATATAGATCAATAGCTAATCTAGAATATACAAAGTATCTCAATTTGATATATTTACAAACCAAAATGAAGAATTTCAATTAGCGATAATAAACTGCAAAAAGAAAAATACAATATACTTATTGCGTTTTTTTTTTTGGAAGACAGATAATACACACGTATACACAGTTAGTTAGGCTCGAAATTTTTCTTTTCCCTTTCATTTTTAATGATCATTATGAATAATAATAATAAAAAAAACAACACTAACATAATCTTTCAGAGAGATCAAATACAAAAAGAAAAAAAAAAAACAAGACACAGTTAATTTGATATAGGAGATGCTTCGGAGAGTGATGATGGTGATACTGCTTTAATTTCACCTGGTGATAAATTCGATCGTGGTGGTGAAGGTGATGCTTGATTATTTAAATTCGTATCAGATTTTGATGATTCAGTTGTTATTTCAGTAGAATCTGCTTTATTTTCCGTTGTTTCTGTTGTTGTTGTTGTTGTATCAATATTTAATTCATTTTTCGATTCATCATTATTTATCGTTAAAGATTTTTCACCTGAATTATCGTCATCATTGATTTCATCTTCAATATTTTCATCATTTGTGAGTGATTTTGATAAACTTTTTCCAATAGTTTCTTCGATTTTATAAAGTTTTTGAAGTTTTTTTTCAACATGTAATTGTATTAAATCAGCTTGTTCTTCTGAACAATGTCCATCTTCAACACATCTAAACAAAAATCATCATTATATAAAAAAGAAATCATCTATTAATACAAGTAACGCTCGTCTGAGAACTCGCTTAGCTCTTTCTCATAGAAATGTATCCTTTTCACATTTACTGGATAAACTGGTTTTCAATGTATTCTGACCTATGCACTCTCCTCCTTCATCATGATCACCCAACAGATCTCAGATTCGAAATACCTCTAGAAATGTTTTTTTGACCCTGCGGACATACACGCATGCAATCAGACAATTTATGTTTACTGGACTCTTCTCTGCGAGAATAATACCTTGAAATTGTAATAAGAACAGGATGTGGTTTAATTGATTCTAAAATTTTAGTCATTGATTCAAGTAAATAAATAATCATTCCTTCTGATGAAACATGTAATGGTGGTCTTGTATCTGCTAGATGCATACCATAGCTATGAATTAATTTCCAATCAAGTTTTTTATGACGAATTACAGAAATTAATGCAGATAAATAAATATTATCAACAAGTATTGGTTGATCTGGTTTTGGATCAGTTAAATATTCATTCATTAATGTACGTATTTGTTCTAAGGCACTTTCACGTGCTGTTATATATTGTACAATTTCAGGATCAGCTTGTTCTTGTACAATACGTGTATAAACATAACGAAGTATTTCATATTCATTTTCATCAAATTGTTTACGTATTGAATCATCAGTAGAAAAAAATGATAAATCAATATCCATTAGAAATTGTTTATTCTCAAGTAATTCATTGATTAATGTTGCATCAAGTGAATGAACACGTTTTGTTGTCGATTGGGAATCTTTATGATTTGTATCATTTATTGATAATTTTGGTTTCTTTCGATTATCACTATCTAAACTTTCACTTCCACTATCATTATTATAAATAGTTTCATCAGCAGCTTTTTCAATTGTTGTTGCATAATTTTTAGCTAAACCACTTGTCGAGACATAAAGATCAACAGTTTGAATATTAGAAAGTTTATCAATAGATGAATAAACACAATTGGAAGTAAAATATGGAATTGTTGAAGCAACTCTGAAAAAAGTTATACAAAATCTATTAGAATCTTTTATTTGAGCATACTTTAATACACCAGTTTGTTGACATTTTCCTATTTGTAATTGATATAGACCATCTTGAAATTGATGAGCCCAAGGTGGTTTAAACCAAAAAATTTTCTTTATCAATCCTCGATAAACAGCTGGAAGTATCCAACATTGATTATCAATTGCACTAAAAACATAAACAATAGTTTCATAAGTTTTTATTTTGACTATCACATACGGAATAAGATGATCTAAGGTTTCAATTTCATCAGCTTGAACATTTTTTGGTACAAGAAAATCAGCATATGTATCAAAACGAATTAAAGCAATATCTTCATCCGATTTTAAATTTTCTCCAATATCATTAATATATATTGGAAGTGCCTTAAAATATAAATTTATCTAATATAAAAATATCAAAAAGAATTAAACAATCTTACTTCATTATTATTTTCAACAATTTTAATCTTTAATTTATCTTTTATGATCACCATTACATGGTCTTATTGTCAAATCTTATCTAAAATATCTTCGAAATCTTTTCTTTTTATTTTTCTCAAATGTAAAAAACATCATAATATACATATATACATAAATATTAACAAGAAAACGATAGTATTATATACAAAAGTCATTTAAAATCCATCACTTTCATTAATTAAAGCACGTTCAAGTATAACTCGTCCTTCTTTATAACGTTGAGTTTCTTCTGTTGCAAATTCATACATCCAACCAAGTTTAGTATCACATTTTTTACAGCTTATATCTCGAACAAAATGACGACCTGTTAACATCATCTAAAAGAATGAATTCATTTATTCGAATCGATAAAATAATTTTTATTTACTCGTTCTTGTACAGGACTTTGTTTTGTATTAACAACACGGCTAAATAAAAATGCTCGACCAGTTGCACCTGTAAATCGTGTTGAAACTAATTCATTACGATTTGTTAATGGTGTTTCACAATGTGCACAAGAAAATATACGTTGACCACCAAGATGTTCAAGAAAAACGCGACCCATAATAAAAAAATTTTTAATCGAAAATAATTTAACGATTTCTATAAAATTAAGAGTCCAAACCAAAAGAAAACATAAACGAAAAAAAAATAAACAATCAATCAATCGATAACGGATTTTAGAATTAACTAATCATTTATTAGTTTTCTTAAGATGTCGCTATATAACAAAAATATGAAGAATTATATTTTGTACTAAATTTTTGTAGACGATTTATTATGAAATAAGATAATAGATGATGATTTTGTCAGTGACGGATCTAGGCTTTTGGAAGGGGGGGGGGGGGGGGATTTTTTTTTGAGTATGGAGGAGCGATTTTGACTAAAAGCTATTTTTGAGTCCAATCGAAGTAGTGTGAAGCTGTTTTTTCGTTCATTTTTGCTGTGATAAATCAAAAAAAATTCGGAAGGGGGCGGGCGATCGCCCCTCTCTAAATCCGCCACTAGATTTTGTATACATAGAGCAGAAAGAATTTTGTCCGATCGTACTCATGCGTCTTGAGTATCGTAAGAATTATTCGTTCATCTTGCGTTTTTTGTTTCATCAAATTGAACAAGCTAAAAAGGGAGTCATAGATCAAGGTTTGTACGTTTAGGTTATAGGTATAAATAGTATCACACTCGAATATTTGTTTCGTTTCGTGATTGGAAGAAAATAAAATACGAAAAAGCACAGGTGAATGAATAAATTTTCTACCTACTATAAATATTTGGATATTTATTATATTTTTATAATTTACGTTATTTTCGAAGAGTGCAAAGTACTATTCTGTTTTTACCACCTGTATAATTTTCTCACGACTTTATCATTTAAAAGCGCTTGATATCCAGATATCAATTGCTTCATTATTTTTGCTTAACTATGGCTACCATTTCGTTTATCATTCTTGCAATATTCTTTACATTTGTCTCATCAAGCAATGAAAATAATATTGTAATTACTAATTCTGGTTCTACAAATACTGCTGGTTATGTAATTAACGTACAACCTAATGGACGTTGCAGTTGGAAAGTAACACCTCATGGTGCTCATCTACTTATGTCAACAACACCAAGTAGTACAACTACACAAACAAGTATTCAACTTTCATCAGCTCGTACAAAAAATATGTTTCAAATTGCTCAAGAAGCTCAACCATTTAATCAATATCCATCTACCGGCTGTATTAAAAGTGTTTCATTTGGTACAACACTTCACGTAGCCTACAATGGACAACAAACACCAGATCTCAGTTGCCCATTAAAAGATCAACGATTAATCAATTTGAATAATGTTATTCAGGAATTAATTAAAGATCTTAATATACATACAATGGGTTAAATATACGGACAATGTGTGCGTAGTGTTTTTTTCTTATTCAGAATTCCGTTAACAAGATTTAAAAAAAAATATAATTAAATCTCATCTATACAAGCAAATAAACAGAATAAAGAACTAGAAAATATATATTTATAGAAATTTTTATTCATATCATTCTGTTTTATGATTGATGAGTTTCAGTTATAGTTGTATCAAGTGATGTACGCCGAAATTCTGCAATAGGTACTAGTGAACTATTTCGACTTGATGTTCCATGTAACATACTCCATGGATATAAACGATGATTTTTCACTCGTTCACTTGTGCGATAATTAACATTTGATAATGGACGAATTGTTGCATCAACAGGTACAGTACATTGTGTACCTGCAAGTTCAAAACCACGTATTTCAAGTGGCATCGATTGACTTACATCATGACAATGTTGATGATGAGCATCCTAAAATATATAAATATAATCCATGAAATTCTATTTTTAATATCATACCATATCTCTTGAAAGACGTATTTCAGTTGCTCGATTTGTTCGAATACTTGAATCAAGTAATGTTCCACTTGCAAAACTATTTTCACTAATTCGTGGAGTTGAACGCTGGAAATAAATAAGTATTAAATATAAATATTCTACCAAGGGTAACTTACATATGGTATTAATTCTCTTGGTGTATTTGGTTGATGAATAGGAGTAATTGAATGTACAAATGAATGGTTTGTACTTCCACCTTCAGTATCCATTCTCTAGATATTATTTTTTTAAATAAATATTAGAATTTAAGAAGATAAAGTTTTTTTCTTACATGAGTTAGACGAGATTTATTCATGTCATCATACCATTCCTGCTGTATAGGTCGATGTGAACGAGGTGTATCACTTGGTAACTTCAAATTAATGAAATAAATATAAAATTTCGAAAAGAAAACAACGAAATTTATTTACTTCAAGATCAGGAAAACGTTGGTGATGATTTAGTGGGACAAGTGCTCTACTCGATCGTCTTGAAGATGTTTTAGCATATTCACTTCTACTCGTATGTCCTTGCTAGAAGAATAATATATAATATATTTTTTTTATCTAGAAAAATTCATTTTTAATCATTTACTGCTATTGGAGAAGGATCATAATCATAATCAATAGCTAAATGAGTTGCAGGTGGTGGTAATTGTGGTATTTGTTCATGTTCTCTTTTTCGTTTTAATGGTGGTAACTTAATTTAAAACGAAAGAAAACAATATTTTATCAGATATTTTAAATATATATACTTTATCAACACGTTTCCGACGTACTTCTCTATCTCGTCCTCGATGAATCTAAAGAAATAAATCATATTTTGTAATTTAATTAGAAAACTTTATTTACTGTATCTGCATGTTTTGCTTTTGGATTGTAAACTGTATTAATACTACGTGTTTTGCTTACTTCATTCCATTTTGGTTTATTTGCTGGACTCTAAGAATAAAAACGAAAAAAACAACTAATAATGATTGATTAGACATATCAAATGACCTACATTTATACGTCGAAACTGACATAAGTATATATTCGAAAGACGTAGATCAAACGCCATTTCTTTTCGCTTTCCTAAGAGTGAGGGTATTTTATTTTCAAATAAACTAATTCATTTCTTGTATTATGCGATTATAGAAAATCTTGATTCAGATCTTATCAATTATTATTAATGATTCAATTCAGAGAACGGCAAAAAACATTTTATTTATTTTTCCAGTACTTTCAAAATTATGTAAAAACTAATAGATGTTAGTCGATAAATTCTTTAAGCTTATTAAAATAATGATTATCAAAATATAAACTGCACTAAGACAAAAAGAAAAACAATGAAAATAAAAACTTACTTTTCTCCTCTCTCTCTTTCTTTACTTTATTAGATATATACACATAGAATCTCAATAAGAAGTAGAAGAGAAAGAAAAGTTGACATTCATTTTGTTTTATATACACTTAAAAGAAAAAGAAAATGAATTGTCAAGCATACTTTACTTGCATGATGTTTTTACATGCAAGCGAGTTCCATAGAAAAATTTATAATAATCAATGTTTTGCTTCGACATAGACTTTCTCTAATGAATATATAAGTCTCTATGTGTTACAGTTAAAATTTATCATACATAGCAACCGTGTATTACCTTACGAATTCGACGATGAGGTTTATTATTATCATTTTCCCAAAGAAAATCGTTTAAATTTGAATCTCGTTTCTTCGTGGGTTGATTAGAAGTCATCTATTAAATATTATTATGATATAAAAGATTAGAAACCTTTCAATATATATATATACTTTTGGACGCGTTTCATTGATACTTGTCATCATAGGATTCTTTCGTTTTGGAGTTTGATATTGCTATAAATAAAAAAATTTGATGAGAAGAAAAACGTTTTTTGACGAACTGCGAAATTTGATTTCTTTTTTCCTATTTGACGAAGATCACTTTCTGACCAACAATGTACTTTTGATTTTGCATTCCAATTTAATTTTTCATTAAAAATCTGAAAATAAAATCTAGACAAAGAATAGATTATTTTTGCTTATAATCTTACTTGACCATTATTTAATGTTGTCCGTGATGGATTAACTTTTAATGGTAAACGTATTTCAAATTTCGATTCATCATTCCATGGAGTTGGTCTAGGAAAATTCTAATATAAATAATTTTACAATTAATCAATTCATTTTATTTGTTCATACTTGAACTTCAGATTCCTTTGGCTTAGGATTTGTATTTTGATCTGGTATTTTTGATTTTTTAGTCCATCTCGGTTTTTCATCAAAAGTCTAAAACAATAGAAATAATATAAAATTCATAATCATACGAATATTTACATCATAAGATATATTATTGGGATAATTCGTTTCTAATCTTGTATTAAATTGTTGTTGATAAAAATAGGATTCATCCGCATCTGTTATAATAGGTAATGAATTAGCTGGAACAAGAGCTTGTGTCTGGCCAAAACGTGGAGATTCTTTACCAAATTCTGATAATCTTGATTCACTATTCCATCGAGGTTTTCTATGAACCTAAAAATTTTAATTTTTCTCTAGAGAAACAAATTCAAATAAGAAAATTTTTAAACTTTAATTTCATGTTGACGTGGTGTATAATGAATATTTTCATGTACATAATCTTTAAGTTTTGATTGAGCATTCCATTCGAGTGGTTCATGAAAAATTGTTGGACTTCCATCAGATAGAAACATAAGTCGTCCAAACATTTGTGCTGGTAGATTCTGAATATAAAATATATTTTATCATAAGAAAAAATATAGATTTCCTATACTTTAGCAGGATGAATTTGTTGTTCATCACCAATTTGTTCATATACATAGATTTCTCTTGGAACTTTTGAGTCTTTAGTCTATTAGATAAGATTAATTTTATTGCAGAAATATCTGTGTATTAAACATACTTTCGAATGGGGTTTTTTCTTAGTAACAATAGGAAATTTTCTTGGATGATATTCAAAATTTTCAAATGAATTCACTCGTGCTTGTACATAAGCATATTTTTCATTTGGATTATGCTAAATTTTATAGAAATAAATAAGTTTTCTTAATAAAAATAGAATTTTTACAAACTTTGCTTGCTAAAATAGAAGCAACACGTTCACGCCAATTAGCTTCATTATGTCGTTGTTCTTCTTCTTCTTCTACATGAGCATATTCTGTACTACCAGAAAATGATACTCTTCGATGATGTTGATCTTGTTCAAAATGAATTTCATCATTATTGATTGGACTTATATTTCTCGGCTAAATTTAATTGATTAGTAAATATTTTATGTCTCTTTCAAGGTATTCTTACAACAATGTTTGGTAATGGTGCTGGATGGTTTTTGATCGAATGTCTTCGTTCTTTATGTTGTTGATTTGATGGTAATTCTTCTTCATTTTGTATTGATGATGAAGATGAATGATATTTAGTATCAGGAATTGGTGTGGAACGAGGTTGTGGATCGATATCTTGTAAAGATTCAGAATGTAATGATGTATCTGACTTTTCCATTGATGGATGTCTTTGAATTTCAGTAGCAAATGTTGGTTGTGTTGATGGTAATTTTAATGTTTGCTTTTCAGGATGATCATTATGAGTGGAAGAAGTACTTCTTTCATTCTGTAAATTTTTCGGTGAAAGATCAACACCTTTAGTAGACGTATGATTTGAAGGAGTTGGTGATGAATGTGTATCGTGATGTCCGACTTTACTACCTAAATTTTCAGGTGAATGATTTTTTGTTTCATTAATTGATATTGTTACAGTTAATAATTGTTCTTTTGGTTTTTGTTCTTGTTGTTCATGTTCATGTGTAGATGGAACTGTTGAAGAAGTCGAATGTATTACATCTTTATGATGTGTCGGTGAAGTGATTGAAGCATTTCTATCTAATATAGGTTGATGATGTTTATTCTTTGATGTTGAAGGTGTATCTTCTTGTTTATGATTTGATGGCAATGGATCATTTTTAGATTTAACTTCAGCGTCTTGTGATGAATTATGATGTGTATCAGTGGAAGGTTTATGTAAAGGTTCTTTCATTTGTAATACGTTATTTTGTAATTTTTCTACTGGTACGTTATGAACTGATCGAATAGATTCTTTACGTTTCAAATCAGATACTTCTCTATTTAATTTTTGAGTTGGCGACATTTGCAAATGTTTTGTATTGTTTGTTTTATCAGTTGGTGTAGGAGATTTATCGTGATGATGTTGTGATTTAGTAGTGGAAGAAGCAGAACTCTTTTTCTTTGGTGATTTTGTTTTTAATTTTGATGGTTCATCTTCTTCCATATCCGATGCATCAAGATCAACAGGAACTGCTGAACCTGTTGATGAACTTAAACCTGATCTACTAAGTTGAGATATTGAATGATCACTTGGTGATCGTTGATTATTATCACGTGATGTTTCGGATTTATTATCTGGCGAATCTTCATTATCATCGACTGGTGTTTTATGTATATGTTCTACATCATGATTAGTAGAAGAAGAACTTGAAGATGAATGTCTTTGTCGACTTGAATGAGAGTGTTCACTTTTAAGCTGCGATTTCTGACGAGAGATTGATTTTCGAGTAGTTACACTTTCTCTATGATTACCTTTTGATGATGTTTTACTTGATGAACTAGACCGTGATGATGATGATGATTGAACTCTGTGATCAGCTGAATCAAGTCTTTCCGGTGTTTGATTATCTTCATTATCGATATCTTTTTCTGAATTCCGACTTGTTGATGATATACTACGCATTTCTTCATTATTTTGCTCAATTTCTTCATCACTTGTATTAGGTATTTCTGCTGGCATAGGAAAATGTATTTGAAGTATTAATGATGAAGACGAATAAGGAGAAATTTTCGAATTATTTGAAAGTTTCTTTTGTTCTTCTTCTATACTTGAATAAAATGCATCTATGTTTAATATTGTATTTGATGGTTTTCGATAATAATTGTTGTTCTTTCTATTATTATTATTAAGACTAAATTGCGTTTGCACGCTGTCGATAATAGAAGAAGGTAACACTTGCTTCAGTGACGATGACGATGGCGACGGTAAAATTGAAGTAGCAGTTGCGATAGGTTTCTTTATAACACTGATTTTTTTTCTTTTTATTTCTTCTTCTTCTTTTTCTTCTTCTTCTTCTGCTGCTGCTGCTGCTTTTACACGCTGATTGTTTCTCTTTATCGTTGATGGTATTTCTGAAGTAAGATTTTGTTGTTCTTCTAACACGTTTGTTGAAACTGAAATTACTGATGATGTTTGAAATTGTTTCATTGACATACAATTACTGTCAGTATTAATAATGATATCTACATTAGTTGATATAATAAAATTATTTTCATCAATATCTATAAAGAAATCTTCTTCATTTTCAGAATCACCAAATAAATATGTCGCAAGACTATTAAGATCATTATCTTTAAGAAAAGAATTGATAGTTGTAGACTTATTTGTTGCTGATTGTGAAGAAGAAGATTTCTTGTTGGACGTAACTGGAAGGATTATATCATGAGAAGCAATTTGTAAATTAAGTTCAGCTTCTAATTGCATTTCAAATACTGCTTGAAGAAGTGATTCAGTATCTTCATTTGGTAATATTAAATCATTATCGTTGCATTTCGAATCAAAATTTATGGTATAAGTTTGAGATTCAATAGGTAGGTCAAGAAGAAATTGATCACTACTTTTTGAATCATCTAAAAGATCCTCAGTATCTAATTCATAATCATATTCACTATGTAATGGAAGATTTGATGATGAAATATCTAAAATAGCTCAATAATATTATTCGTAAACCAAACTACGAAATTCTATTTACTTGTTTTCATTATTTCTAATGATTGATTTTCATTTATTTTAGTTTGTTCAGGTGGAACATCAACAGCTGATGCTTCTGCAGAATTTATTTTTAAACTAGGCCGAACTTCATAAACTCGTTTTGGTTTATCAGGCCAAATATAATTCTCATATTTTTGTGTTGTTATTGTCTGTTGAATCTATATTGAACAGTAGATTTTCATTTAAAATTAAAATACAAAAACAAATTCATTACATTTTGTTTTATAATAGGAGGAAAATGAGTTGGTACATCATGTATTATTGCAGATTTTTGTTCAAGAGAAGTTAAATTTCGATCAATATCACTAATGCGTTTCTGAATATCAGCTCGGACATGAGAAGTATCTGTCGGATTGATATTATTTATGGATGGAAGTTGAGTTAGATCTGCTGGGATATATCTTGAAGGTTCTACTGATTGTATATCATAAAATGTCGATAAGGATTCTGTTAAATCAGACTTCGTATCTATCGATGATAATGGATGATAATCATGTTGATTATATGATGGGAATGGATTTGAATACTGATATTGTGTATTTTGAAATAATCTTGTATTTTTTGGATATCTATTATTTTGATTCCGTTGATCCATGATGTTTGTTATTCAATTTTGAAAATCAATTACTCATTCGAATTTAATCAAAATCAAATATGCAATAGACATCATCTTTTCTTGCATTTCTTTTTCTGTCGTATGAAAAACTACACGGAATAAATCAACATTGAATTATATGTCATTTCTATTATATTATTACCTTTAAATAAATATAACAGACATCTTCTGGCCTTATTTGAATATGGAATTATTTCAAGAATTTGAATTGAAGACAATGTATAGATGAGAAAATCCTTTCAACTTTTTCTTTTTGTTCAATAACTATATATTAGATCAATGAACATACTAATATAAAGATCAAGGTTTCAATATAGCATTGAGATATGTTTTTAAGTTATTGATATCTGATAGTTTTGTCATCTATTGTAATTTAATCATATGTTAATATGATGAGTATGTTGTGTTAATATTTGAACATTATTATTTATTTAGTATGTATTCTCTTAACAACGAAAAGCAATCGAAATTTCATAGTGATAAAAAATAAATAAACGATATCTATGATTTGTATTTATTGATTTAAATTGAACATGTATAACCTAATTATTAAACTATTATCTTAAGATAACAAAAAAAGTCGAGCATGATACACTTTTTTTTAAAAATACGATTGTCGTTTATTTAGTCGAAGAAGTTTTTAAAAAATAGAAAATTTCATAGGTTAATTATTATTAGTCTCATTTCTTTTTTTTGTTTCATTTAAGTTAATAAAAATTCATTTTAACATCTAAATATTAGTTTATGGTCGTCAAACGGTTTATCATATCAAAAAAAAAATAATCAAGCAAACGTAGTGCATTAAACCATAAATTAATACCAAAACAAAAAAAAACAAACACAACACAACACACAAAAGGTGATAACACTATTAATAGGAAAACAAACATCGCAGAAGAAATCAATAACTATTCTCTAAATAATAATTTCGATAAACGTAGGTTTCTTCTTTGTCTAAAAAATATTACACAGCACACACAAAATTATGTGAAGGAAGTAATCACAAGCTTATACAATAAATAATACTGTTCTCTAAGAGTAACCCACACATATATAATATAGAAGAAAAATAAGGTAAACGAGACAAAAAAAAATATAAATGTCTCTTTGAAATCATGTAATTGAAGGTTTTCTTGTGAAATGATTCTAATTCTTTTATTTTTTTACTTTAACTCACACTACCCAATGGTTTAAGACCCATCATAGCTTCGGCTAAACCTAAGTAATAAACCATTTGTGCAATACCAAATAATGGTGCAATAACCATAACACGAAGAAGTGAACCTTTAAAAAAGGCACTTGCACCTTCTTCGCTCATTATTTTACTAGAAAAATATGTTTACAATACAAAAAAATATTGACAGTCAATTCACTTACGTAGTACAATCAATAAATCCTGAGTAACGATTTTTATTTTCCAATGTTTGCAAACGTGTTTTAATAACTAAATAAACAAATTTCAATAATAGACAACTAAGTATAGTTTATATAAATTCATACACAATTTGTTTACAAGACTCAAAATCTAGTAATATGAATTCTGATTATTGTCATACTGTACAAAATAAAACTTCATTGATCTACTTTGAGTTTCGAAATATTCAGATTGTATAATTAGAGAAGAAAAACAAGCTCGTACTATATCTATCATAACATGAACGAAAATTCACACGACTGGAAAGAGTCATAAATTATCTCACGAATGAATTGACGATCAATTAAAGAACTAGTTCATCCAATCGTGTATATCTAATCAGCTAAGTATATCTTACCATCAAGAGGTGTTGCTAGAAAAGCAGATATAGCACCAGCGCCAATACCCGATGCAAATGAATGATAAAAAGGTACTTGATTACTTCCAGGTGCTTTACCCTGAAAATAAATAAAAAATGAAAACAAAATTAAACATAAGCAAATAACTAACTTTATCATTAAAATAAGCAAATAATGGGAAGTACATCATTGAAAAAACCACATCACGTGTAAATGTTGCGCCAACACCTTGATATAACCCACGTATACCTTTTTCACGATATAATTGCATGGCTAGTTGTCGAGAAGTAAGCGAAGTAGGTGAATCTAAAAACTTAATTTAATTCACGAAATTAAAATTTAATAATTCTTCTTACTTTTTGATTTTGCCATTTGTCTTTGAATTTTAAGTAATTCCATTGGTGTTGTTACAACAATTTGACATGTTCCAGCACCAGCACCAGCTAGAATTTGTCGATGCATAGGAAGAGATCCATCTCTAAATTAAAAATATGTATTATTTTTTCAGTGATTATAAATCGTTTTATTTACTTAGTTTTCAATAGTTGACGAAAAGCATCATTAGCAACAAGTTTAATCGCTTTTTCTGGTGTGATGAGTAATATATTGACTGCAGAACCTATCAAAAGCAAACTTTGTATCTATTTCTAATTGAATAACATTGATAAAAGAACACTAACCACTATACATTCCACGAAAACCTTCACCACGAAATGTTTTAAACGCACAATCCAAACTAAATAATAATGTTAGAATATATCTATTCATACTAACTAATTTTTAGTGTTTATTTACATATTTTTATAGGCTGGCGGTTGACCAACAGCTTTTGATTGATTTTGCATTCGAGTTTTAACTAAATCTAAGGGAAACACGCATATTACACCAACAATACCAGCAATACCACCATTAATAACACGTGGTAATAATCTATAATAGATAATCATTGACTTAGAAATATTATAAAGAAAAATAAAACCTACCCGAAATCTTGACTTGCTCCAGGTGCCATGTTTTTTTTTCCTATAAGTTTTATCAGGAGACAGAAAGTCTCTTTTGATTGATATTAAGAAATATTTTTCATAGAAAAAATAAATCTATAAAAGAAAAAAGAAAAGATTTTTTTTGTCTGTTTTGTTTTCCTATATTAATATATACATTTTTTGTAGTTAAACATGTTTATAATCAATATGAAAAACGAGGAAATAAACAATAAGCTTAATATTATACATAAAAGAATATCACACAAAAAAAAATAATCAATTTTAAAAGCAAAAGAGAAGTGGAATGTAGATTTTTATTTTCTAGTGTTGCGCTAGTGGAATGTACCAAGAGAAATAAAAAAACTTTTATATTTTTATTGGAATGTGTATGTCCGATGAAAGACAAACTAAATATTGTTCAAAAAAAAATGCGTTCATCTTGGTTATTTTAAAAAGAGTTCAGTGTAACGTGCAATTAAAATTTCTGTAAATGTATTTATAAGTGAATAATTAGCCAATGTATTCATTTGATCATCTTCAGACCATGCTAGATTAGGTCCAAAAACGATTGATAAATTCGATGTTGTCATCAAATTTGTATCTGAATAGTTAGCCACCTAAATCAAAAATATACATAAATGTTTCATGAGAAAATAGAATGATGCGGAAATAGAAGAAAACGATTTCTGCCATAAGGAATTTTTTTGTTAAATCATTTCCGGAAAATATTAGAACAGGAAATATGAGTTTCCTTAACAATCTTTTCAATCTAGTATTTAAATTAAAAGCTATTTTTAATTAATAACAGGCCATATGTCAATATTAGGGATGCAACGGAGACCGGTCTAACCAGTAACCGTTCCATCTTGAGGGTGTAGGTGTGGGTATTTATTTCATCTATCACTAACGTCCACCCAACACCGACTCCTACTCTCGCACCCATGCCCACAAGATGGAACGTTTACCGGTTGAGACTGGTCATCAGTGAAAAAGTTACCGGTTCGAACCGGCGAAAAGAAAACCGTTTGGATCGGTGAGAGCCGGTAAACGCTTTAAAACCTACGGTGAAGACCGATACTTTGGCATCTTTAGTCACCGTTTTTCTGAAGAGGTATGAATTAATTAATATACCGATCTTCACCATAGTTGTTAAAGCGTTTACCGGCTTTCCCAGTTGGACTAGTTAATCGTCACCGGTTCACCGGTCTAAGCGGTTATCGTTTCACCGGTTCGAATGGTTATCGTTTAGCTACGGCTAACGATGAGCCGGCTTTCGTCACTTTTACATCCCCTTACCGTTACCGTTGCATTCCTAGTCTATATTATTGTCTTTCATATCTTACCAAATTTAAAAATTCAATTAAATATTTCAAAACATTATAATTTTGTGCTGGTAATTTTTCAATAATAAGATCTCGAATAATATCAACTTGATCAGGTCGTTTTAATGCTAAAGAAAAATTTTATTAGATTTATTTTCTCTAATTATCAAGCAAATCAAAATAAGAAAAGTGCAATATATATAATACTGTGTACCACATTTAAGCAAAGAAAAAGAAGGCTTGTCCAACTAACACTTGTGTACATAACAACGATGATAGACGAAGATAAGCTATCACATACTCACTACCTGAGAGGCCGAGAAGTTCGGGATATAAACGAAAAGTCATTATTGGTTCAGATAAATCTCGTAAAAATGTTTTTAAAACACATGCTGCCAAATGAACATCTCCATACTGTTCAAACATAACTGGTTGACCTATTTATTTATTACAAAAGAATTAAATAATACGAAAATTTTTCTTCTATTAAACCTTCATTATATTTTTCTTGTATTTGTTTAATTAATGAAACAAGTGCAGCTCTTCGAAATATTCCTGGTTCATTAAGTCCTACAACAACAAAATATTTAATTCAAGATTTCCGATCAATTAATAATTTACCATTATTTTTAATATAATCAATTGTTTGACGAATAACAATTGGTACAGTTTCGCCTGGTTCATTTTCTAGAATACTAAACAAAATTCAAATGAATAATAGATTAATTAATTCAATAGAATAAAATTACAATTGAAGTGAAACATGAAATTTCGTTGTTGGTCGTATTTGACCAGCTGGTAATTGTGAACGAACAACAGGATCAAAACTATATTATATCATACATATTTTAAATAATCCAAAAAAAAATTTCCATCTTACGTTTTAACTTCATTAGGTATTCGAATATTTTCTAGATGAATATATTCTGCTAGTTCACCAAGACGATTGATATAAGTTACTTTACGAGAAAATTTTGCACTGTAAAAATTCAAACAAAAATCATTCGTATATATAATAAAAGATAAGATAAGAATTTTCAACCTTATAATTGACCGAAGAACTGGCCATAAAAATTTTATCCATTTTGTTGGATGTACTATATAAACTGCTTTTAAATTCTTCTTATATCTAATCAAAAATAAAATATTTAGAGAAATAAATATATATACAAAAACATACTTTCGATCAATTCTAACATAAGCTTTCATTAACCAACCATAAGATGGTCGATTATACGAACGTAATCCATGATGAAAATAAATAATAACATAATCTACATCAACATATTGATCAAATGTTCTCAAAAAGTATCTATTGTTCGAAAACAGATTTTTTATATGTATTTTATAACAAAATATATTATTTTTACTTTAGTAAACATTCATGAAATTTTTGTATTGTTTTAAAATCACTGTTTTTAATAACATCCTCAGAAGGTAAACGACATGCTGAGCAAACAATCGTTTTACGACCAAATTTATCATCACCACAACATTCAATAATTCCATATTCGGCGATTTTTGCCATTAATTGATAATCAACATCTTCTGTATCATGTAAATTCTTTAAATATATACATAGAAGTTATAGAATAGAAAGAAACTTTTTCACGAACTGCTGGTTCATGTCCACCTAATTCTGATTCAAAATCATCATCAATAATTCCATCTGATGTTATATTGCCTTTGATTGCACCTCGATTTTTATTTGTATTAGATAAACTCTCATTGTTATATACATCTAAATAATAGGTTTATATTATCGAAAATTGACATTCAAAAGAAAAAGGTCAGTAATGTAAAAAGCGTTATTTACCACCGCCATTATCCTCATCGCCACTGAAACCCAAATCATGTTGGTGATCTTCATAACCAAGATGTTGCCGTAAATCGGCACCGTCTAAGTGAAGAATGGTGCAAAAAAATATTAATAAGCAAAAGCATTAGAATTAATAAAAAATAAAAAATAAGAATATTAATATTAAATATAACCCCATTTTAAAGGTCAAATTAAGTGTACTCCAAATCCGGATATCTAAGTTTTCGCGAAAAACTGTTTTGACTGCTCTAATAGATACTCTGAACCGACTGGTGATGCTCAAGAAAAAAAAGCACATAATTAGTCGAAAAACTTGAAACTCTAAATTTGTAGCTCACTTAACTTGACCCATTTTAAAGCATTAGATATTAGTTTAATCTATTTCATTCTTACCGTACTCTAATTCATAATCATCGACTTCTTTAAAAAATTATTTTATAAATGTTTTTTTTTTGTAATAAAATTTAAAGAAAAAATTAATGAATTACCTCTATCTGCTATTAAATCAATATGATGTTCATCATACTCAAGTTGAGGAGCATCTTCAATATTTGTACGTCCTGATGGAACATTATTCCAATATGGATGTTTGTCTAAATATAAAATCAAAATCAATATAATAAAATGTTCTATTCTTTTATTAAACAGTATTATGATAAGAATCAATATTTACACACGTATGTACTACTTTATGTATGCGAAAATGAGCAATAAAGCTTCCATATTTTTTATTTATTCAATCAAGATTATGTCACATTAAATTTATGTTTTTTTTTTATAAGCAAATTTTATTAATAATAGTAACAACTGAATTAATAGAAGGAAATGAATAAGCAATACTTAGTTAATCAATATATGTCAAAATGTATGCATGCATGATTACTCAAGTTGTAACAATTCTAGAGAGAATATATTCTTAGAAATCTATATATATCATGGAGATTATATTACTCTTTCGCACATTTAAGATTTTCTTATAGAAATAACAAAAGACAGCATGTTACATAGGATTACCGGAAATAACGGATGTACAGCATATATGTAGAGCTTAGAATGATTTAATAGTACATGTAATTGAATTCTTCGTTGATTTCTTATTGAGATATAGCGATGTATTATGGATTTGTATTAAAAAAGAAAGCGTTAACTGAAAAAAGTATCGTCAGCAGCTTCTTATAGGAACCAATGAAACAAGAGAAATTCATTTAGAAAAAGGATTATTTTTTCTCCTTTAATAGTATATGCCTCGAAGATATTCTTACGGTGTCATATGAAGGTCTTTTGTGCATTAGTAAATTAATTTCCTAAGAAACCGAATTATAGCAAAAATAATGAATACCTTTTTAATTAATAGTTCTAAAATCTCAAAATTTTTCAATATGTCAAAATAAAAATCTCATGATTACCAGCAGGTAATAGATTCATTGGAATTTCATTATGTGAATCAAGATCAGCTGTATTATTTTGCGGAGTATTCGAAGCTTTATGAGCATTTATTTGAGCCATATCAAGAGAATTATGTATTAAAAACTCATTACTAGTTGACGGAATTGTTTCATCTGGTGATGTTGATGACATAATTCAATGAATAGAATATAATCTAAAAGAAATATATTCATTCTTGTGTTGAAAAAAAAATAATTTTTCGAGAAAAAACAGAAAAAAAGAAAGAAGAAATCGCTAAGATTATCACAAAAACTTTGCATATAAATATATTTCGCCCAAAATAAAAAGAAACAATAAACGGTATATCAACTTGTTAAAATAATATAAAAGAAAATCACAAAACGGATTAACAGAAAGAAGAAAAAAAAAATTTTTTTTTGTACAAAAATGTTCATTTTACTCAACTCGTCAATGTATCTAAAAACAAATCAAATACAAAAATAATTCAAATAAAAAAAATATTCTTACGTCGCTTTAATGGACTTGGTCCTTCACACATTTCACATACATCTTTACGTGTTATTATATATGGTTCATTAATATATGTACAAACTTCACAAGACCATTTCGAACAAACACGATCTTTCTCTTCTATAAATAAATAATTGATTTATATTGAAAGTAAAATCAAATCATCAATTACCTTGTAATCTTTTTAATTCTTCTTTAAATTTTAAATTTTGTTCAACTGCATCTTTATAATGAAGATCAAAATCGATTTCCTCCTACATAAATATATAAACATATATATATATCTTCTTTAATCTTTTCTTACATTTTCATTTTGAGCTAAATCTTGTTGATACTCACGACGTTCATTATTCAATGCTATTTCATATATTGTTATTCGTTCAAGATCATGCTTTTGTTGTACAACTAAAGAGAAAGAAAACGTTTCTTTTTTTTTCAATTTTGATGTAGTTTTAATTACCATAATCGATATCATTAAGTGTCGATCGATCACTATGTATAAATTGCGAATCAATATTCGATGAATCTGTTGATGTTGATGAATTAGTTGCTGATAATTGTGTATCATGACCATTTGATTCATCATAATTAAGTAATGCACATTCAACACCGGCTTGTGTTGCTTGAATATCTAATTCACTATTTGAATCTAAAATTTAATTTATGAATATAAAAATAAATAAAATAAATCCTCCTTACGATTTATAAGAGGTAAGATAGATGAAGACGTTAATGTTATTTGTTGTGGTGGTAATAGACTAGGTGTAACTGGTGTACTTGATAATAGATGATTTTGATTTGTATCAGCACTATATTCATCTAATTGTCCATGTTGACATGGTTCAGCATGACGTGTATGTTGTTGATCGATATTATCATGTGATATTAAACCTAAATCAGTACCATCTTGATCAATTAAAAGAAAACCACGATTTTTTTCATCATTATTTTCATCTTTTTTTGTTGTTTCATATCTGCATGGTGCTAATCGATGTTTTATAGTTGAAATTATACGATTTTTATTCGGAATTGTTGGAGAAGTACAATATGTAGATTGTGATGACTAAAAACAAAAATAATAATTTCAGTAATAAATTCTTTTAGTTTATTTTACTTGTTGATGACGTTCAGTGATTGTATCATCAGATATTGTTGCATCAGATGGATTAGTATTATTTCTACTTTCATTATTTGGATTAAATCTAAGCATTTCATCTTCATCCGGTGGATCACTAGAGTATAAAAATCAAATGATTATATCGAAATAGATAATATTAAAAAAACAAAACAAAACAACAGTTAGAGCAAACGAGCAAACACAAGGAATGAGCATTGTAAACCTACCAAACTTCAAAATCTGCCTTATTTAAAAGTAATGAAAGTTGTTTTTTTGCTATTCGACCAGGTTTAAATAAAGCCGGTATCGATCTACGATGATAAGAAGTAGTCGAAGAATTATTTAGTTCAACCCCAATTCTACATTATGCATTCGTTATTATTAGCGACGTAATATATCCTTTAATCGTATACATACCTATTGTTAGTTGAACGATCTAATGATGATCTCGACATTGTATAATAATAATGTAAAGATCTTATATAAACAAATTGTTTTTAAATTATTTTTTTATTCCGCTTCTCCACACTTTAAGTAAGGTAATCGTACAAAATGAAGTAGTTTCCAAACAAAACAAAACAAAAATATGAGTTTTGATTCGTAAAGAACAAAAAAATGCTCTTCCAACGCCACCGTCATTAGGTATATGACTCTTAGATAGTAGCAGCACCTAGATTAGAACTAGAGATGTCGTAGATGCTCATTCAAATATGGAATAATCAGTTTTAAATAAACTTTATCACGTACAAGGAAAAATGATAATAATTATTTTTGATTCTTTGAATGTCTGTTTTCTTGACAATGAGACTATGAGAGTAGATGATGCTCGTTTATAAATATATGAAGTAAATTAAATAAAAATTACTTCTTGCTGAGTTAAACAAACGATATTATCAGGATATAGACTAATGAATTTATCAATCAACACCGTTCTATCTATATAATTTAATTTAACATGTCACAACAGTGTTTTACACTTAATTAGAATGCAATACAATTCTAGGAGGTTTTATGCTTATCATATAGAATCTAGATAATATATATATATATATAGTCAAATAGTTTTATAAATAGAATGAAGAATTTTATTTACATTATACCAAAAGTTTTCGTTTTTGAAAACTATTAATGTTTTGAATCCATACAATGTTTATATCGATGATAGTTTATTCAATACAAACATCATGTAATTGTCAATTTCAGATTGTTATAACAGTACAGAAATACGATCAACAAATAATCAAGTATATGTATCTATATATTGTCATCAGATGGATTCTTTGATCTTTTGGAAGTTACCAGATGATATTATAGTAGTCGCAAATCAGATAATATAGATATAGTATTATTAAGATAAAACATTTGTCTTTGATTCTTTCAACTTGTTGTATATACAAGCTCATATCTTAAAATGCATATTTCAAAGATATCCTGTAGATATAAGTGTAGGGTGGCAATTTTTTTGATCATCACAAAATGGTACAAGTGATCACCAAATTTATTATTAATAAATAGATAGTACATTAATAACAATCGCATACACTAAAGATAATACTACACACAAAATGGGCACAAAGATAAATAAATAATGTTAATAACAAATCATGGTAACCATGCCGTGTAAACTTTTTTTGGACGGCCTGAAACTTTAAAAGTATTTTTAGTTAATTCGATCATTCAGATCGAGATGAATTATTCTTTTTTTATGTAATCTTGTTACATTGATAAATCAACCTTTACGACAAGTATATGATCTATCATAGATGTATTATCTAACACATAAAATGAACTCGTTATCGCTCCCTACGTGCTAATTAGTTTGGTGATCAAATGTATATTTTTTTGGTGATCATTTAGCACTAAAGCAATTTGGTGATTATTTGTACCTATTTTTAGTGATCAAAAGTACATTTTCCCATAAGTGTACATATCATTATTTCTCATTCAGCATCCTTACTTATTTGTCTCTTTCTCTTTTATGAAAGAATTCTTCACTCTTTATCACATACGTGTCACATTTACAAGGTTTTTTTTCATATGACTTGTTGAAGAAAGATTTTTTTTATCTTATTTGCTTTTTATCGGGTATCCGTCAATATTTATCTAGTTGTGCGTTATGAAGGATATTTTTATGCTTCTCCTCGCAGCTTTTAAATCCACATTTTTGTTCGTCTCATATAACTTGTCAAAGAAACGTTGTCTGAGTTTGATCTCAAGCTGGAAAGTGTCACGAAGAAACTCAGGCAAGACGTATTTTATTAGAATATAGAATCTGGATGAGAAAAATCGATATGAAATACAGAATTGGAGAGATTCAAATTATAAGGATCTGAGTGCGTATCGATGAAAGAAAATATTCTTACATCTTAAGTTTCTTTGCTATGAAATATATACAGTATACTAAGAACGACAAGAACGATTTGTTTCTGTGTACTATTCTAGATCAGTTTGGTAAAAAGACATTACTTTTAGCCAACACTATAATATTGACCTATTATTACCAACAGATTATATTGGAAAAGGAAAGGTGAAAGTTTCAATACATTGGTGATTCATCTCCAGAATTTAAAAACTAATTATGCGAAATAAATTATGCAATTCACTCAATCAAAATCTTTCTTTACCATTAATTTGTTTTGTTGCCATTGGTTTCGTAATATTATTATCTAAAATAGGAATTAAGTCAATTACTACCTTTACTACTTCATCACATTTTACTAAGCATGTACGAAGTGCAACTAAACATTACATTCTCAAAGACAGTGAATATGATATGCTCCCATCGGGTTCTCCAACCACCGATGCTTATGATGTAAGAATTTTTCATTCAAAATTGAAATATATTTTTACTTTTTTCCTTATAGAAACTGCTAAAAAATCCTGTATATAAGGAGTGGACTGAAGTGTATTCGAACAAGTTTCTAAAAGATAATAAAGATATTCTTGTTGGATATACACAAAAATGGGTGGCTGATCCTCTGCATACATGGTCACGTGGATGGGAATACACGTATGTAGCTGCAGCCATCAGAAAATACGCTCCACGTGATCGTGATCTTTATTTATTGGATTTTGGTTCTGGCGTGACTTTCATTGATTGGATGATTGCTTATGAAATATTGGATAACAATCCACGATCGCGTGTTCTAGCAGCCGATAATAATATGGCATATCAAGATTGGTTTGATCAACTGAACAAAAGATATATGGAACGAGCTAAACAAGGAGATGTACCGGAAAAATATCGCATACCTAAAGTACAATTTATCGGCCATGATATTCGAAAACCAATTCCAATATTAAATACTAGTATTGACATTGCATTTTGTATTTCAGTCATGGAACACGTCGATGATTCTTTGGCAGCAGCAAGAAATATCTATAATACGTTAGTTCCTGGTGGTTATTTAATTATCACTTTTGATATCGACAGAAATTCTGCAATAGTCAGTCATAAACCGTCGAGAGCCGATGCGTTATTAAAAGAATTACGGCGAATAGGCAGAGAGATTCACTTTGATAACTCTGTATTACGCACGTATAATGATGAAATGTTTCAAGATATGATTCAAAAGAAGAATGATCTTTATACATTATATGACGGTAAGATAAAACAATATGATGATAGTGAATGGATTAATACAAAATCAGAATCAATTAGAAAAGGATTATTTTTCTCTTGTCATGTCTTTCAAAAACTTTAACAGTGTATTGTTGTTGTTTAAAATTTATATAACATTTTTATAGAAAGTATGTATAAAGTATTTTATTATTCTTTAAAAAATATCAATAATCATTGTCTTGTTTTTTTTTTGATCTTCAACTGAGTTTAATTCATTAACTAAGTATTAATAAATAGACAGAATTCTTAAAACTATTATTTATATTTACTCTTCAGTATCATCTGCTTTTTATGAAACTTTGTCTATACAATTTACTATCTATCTGATATATTATCCTCAGGTTCCAAGACGACTGGATAATATATCTGGTATATGGTAAATTGCTTAGTCAAAGTTTCATAAAAAGCAGATAATGAACTAAAAGGTAAATCTAAGAACTAGCCGAAAACTTCGTTTTATATAGAAGGTCGAATTTTTTCCCATCAGATCTTGTTGCGGGTAAATGGTTTTTACTACAAGTGAATTAATTTCAATTGAAGATCAGATGAGTTTGATGAAACATATCACTTGCTTTTCTAGAATGATTTGCTAATACAAGATCTTTTAGATGGTGATCACTACGAAAACTATTTTGTTCTTATCGTGCGGATTATTTAGTCTGTTAATGTTATTCATTCTTGTAAAAGATAATAATTTTCCTAGAATATCTTTGAATTCAATTACTAAAGTATTGTCTAATGTCCCGAACAGTTTTACGTGTCAAACATGGACGAAATTATCATATATTAATAATCAAACGTATCGCCAATGTTTAAATTCGGATATGAACAATAAGTTTTGGCAGAGCCCTGGAATACGTCATACGGTGTATAAATCCTTATTGAATGCTTCTTCACTTATTATCGAAGTGGGTGGAAATCGTGGAGAAGATACAGATAGATTTATTCAACTTTATAATCCTTTTATTATTAGTTATGAACCATTAATACCCATGTGGAAAAGTCTTAGCGAAAAGTTTAAACAAAATCCGAAAATAGAAATTCATCCATATGGATTAGGAAATCTTGCACGAGATTTAGTTGTTGAACCATATGCTTTTCAAAATGAAGGTACAAGTATTTTTCGACCTGTATCTAATATGAATTCTTCCAAAATTCAACGAATTAAATTACTTAATATCGTTGAAGTGATCGAAGATGTACGTAAGACAAAAACAAAAAATGGAATAATCGATATGATTAGCATTAATTGTGAAGGATGTGAATTTGAAATCTTACCTGTACTAATTTCCAACAATATGATGGAATATTTTCGAATTATTCAATTTGCAACGCATATCAAATTGGTACCCGATGCATCGTGTATATATTGTCAAATAGAACAATCTTTGGAAAGAACTCATCGTGTTAAATATCATTACAATAAGATATGGGAAGGTTGGCTACTGAAAAATCATCTTTGAAATTAAATTACATTTGTGACTTGTTCAAATAATAGAATCTGCGGCGAATGAAAAAGTCTTTATTTAACAACATAACTTTAGAGAATATCTTGTGAGAATATTTTTTCAAGTCTAAGAATAAATAAAGGTCGATCAAACTTAATTCTAAAAGATGTCAGTAATAAATAACATAAATTTTCATTCGAAGAAATACTTGTCAAATCTTCTATTCGATTCACATAATGAAGTTGTCAAATTGTTTGCTCAATCTAATAAATATAAACCACTAGCAGAGGTACTCACTGAAAAAACTCTCTCACACAGTTTTCGCTACAAAATATTCAAATTTCAAGCAACTTCTGTATCCGACCCCCTCGCCTATCGACCATCCTTGGGGCCTAAGGAAGCGTCGTGGAAAGTTTGGTAATCGTAGCTATTACAGGGACTGAATGCATAGCGAACAAAAGATGCGTGCTCAGACAGCCTAAGCTATCAATTTTTTTTAAGTTTTTGAAATACTGCAATCCTATTGGTCAATTTCATAGATTGCCTGCAGCAAGCGCAGGATTCTTTTTTTTTCGGAACAAAGTAGATGCCGATTTTCCCCTGGGTATAGACATCATTTCTGAAAAGTTTCATTGCATTTGCTCGTACGGTCTCCAAATGCATAAAGAGCAAAAAACTTTCTTCTTTGTATATATAGATTTATATTTTGAATATTCAGTTGCGATTTTTGAATATTCTATCGATATCTCTATTTTACTTACAATTACAAAACAGAAATACTACGCATAACGCAGTGTTTTTTAGAAGAATTTATAACTTTAGTTTGAAACTGTTATATCAAACTTTTGTCCAGTCGTTTTGTAATGAAGTATATAAGTTGGATCAGCATAATAACCTGGATTTGATTGATATGGACGAGTAGTCTTGTTTTTAGTTATTTCATCTAATGCAGAACCAAAGTCTATGTAACGATTATAGGGATTTTCTTGCCATGCATAATGGATCAGAACTCGAGTTAAATAACCAACTGAAAATGCAAAAAGACGATTGTTATATCGTTTTGCTGTTTCTGTAATTTTGGCAATCGCTTGTTCTCGTAGTTTGATATCTTCCCACATAGAAGGTCCGTTATCCGGATATAATAGTATTTCACATGCCCATTTGCTTAATTCAGCTAGTTTTGCAGGGTTCGTACCATTATTGATAATCAGAACTATTTTTCCCTTTTGATCTTCAATTAATGAACGGAATAAGATTTTTGTAGCAGGATAATTTGAATTGACGAATAAATTCGCATATGTAAGATATTTGATATCTTGATGAATCATTGTAAGGAAATCATGAAAGGGACAAATCCTTTTTACATCATAAATTCCATAATAAAATGGACTATTTGAATTATATTGATATTTTGGAAAAGCTAAACCAGTTCGTAAATCTTGACCCAGTTTTGATTTTCCTCCTCGCCAAGATGTTTTATCATGTGGATGATATCCAAATGCAATACCAAACATTAACATCATATCTCCATCTCCTATTCGAACAAATGCTAATCCACTATCGTTTCTTGAAGAATCTGGAAATGGTTTATTAATCATCGATGCCATTCGATAGAAATGAGTGCGAAATGTTCCTATAGTCCAAGAACATTGGGATCGTTTTTTATCGTTTTTTGCGCACCAATTTAGTATTGAATCAGCACAAGTAATATTTGAGTCGGAAATAATGAAATTTGTTTGATTGTCTTTACGCTTTGTTATCCAATCATCAAGAGGTATCGAACTCTTGTATAAAAATATATAGATTAGTACGAAACTGAATAGAATAATTCCAATAAGATAATATTTTACTGACATATTCTTTCTATCCTTAATATCGTATAGTCTAGAATCTTCTCTAATATGTGCTTGATTATCTCCACGAATTGTTTTTACATAGATATTCAACCGTTTTCAGCTAAAGTTAAGTTACCTAAAATAAATTATACAGACAGATACCAATGTTTTAATCAAAACATAAAAATCAAAATGAAAAATATAGAATTGTTTTGCTCACATTGTAAAAGTACACAGAACGGAAAGATATTTTGCTGGTAATAGTCAATCTAAGTTATTTTTCATGCATTGTTTCATTCTTTCTTTTCTAATGATTGATGTCACATACGAGATGATATTTTTTTCTATTTATTAATTGTTGATTAATAGTTTTACACCGGAAAGAAAAACTCAGTGATCCTCAAAATTAAATCTAACAGCATCTTGCTTCCGTTACTACATCTAAACTATTACACATTTCTCCTAAGATTGATAAACCAGCATTCGGATCATGATAATTTAAATCTCTCCAATTCTGTATTTCGTATCGATTTCTCTCATCTAGATTCTATATTATAATGATATACGTCTTGCCTGAGTTTCTTCGTGACACTTTCCAGCTTGAGATCAAACTCAGACAACGTCTCTTTGACAAGTTATATGAGACGAACAAAAATGTGGATTTAAAAGCTTCGAGGAGAAGCATAAAAATATCCTTCATAACGCACAACTAGATAAATATTGACGGATACCCAATAAAAAGCAAATAAGATAAAAAAAAATCTTTCTTCAACAAGTCATATGAAAAAAAACCTTGTGAATGTGACACGTATGTGATAAAGAGTGAAGAATTCTTTCATAAAAGATAAATGAGACAAATAAGTAAGGATGCTGAATGAGAAATAATGATATGCACACTTATATCCGCAGTATATCTTTGAAATATGCATTTTAAGATATGAGCTTGTATATACAACAAGTTGAAAGAATCAAAGACAAATGTTTTATTTTAATAATACTATATTTATATTATCTGATTTGCGACTACTATAATATCATCTGGTAACTTCCAAAAGATCAAAGAATCCATCTGACAACAATATATAGATACATATAGTTGATTATTTGTTGATCGCATTTCTGTACTGTTATAACAATCTGAAATTGGCAATTACATGATGTTTGTATTGAATAAATTATAATCGATATAAACATTGTATGGATTCAAAACATTAATAGTTTTCAAAAATGAAAACTTTTGGTATAATGTGAAAAAAAATTCTTCATTCTATTTATAAAACTATTTGAATATATACATTATCTGGATTCTATACGATAAGCATAAAATCTCCTAGAATTGTATTGCATTCTAATTAAGTGTAAAACACTATTGTGACATGTTAAATCAAATTATATAGATAGAACGGTGTTGATTGATAAATTCATTAGTCTATATCCTGATAATATCGTTTGTTTAACTCAGCAAGAAGTAATTTTTATTTAATTTACTTCATATATTTATAAACGAGCATCATTTACTTGCATAATTTCAGAAATATGAAATACTTGAAGTTATTCCAAAGTTATTATTAATAGTCAATGCTACTACTAATACAAGTGAATGCTTATTATGATAAATATATCGGTTAAATAGGACGCCATACTTGTAAGAAATAACATTGTTATTCAAAATAATATAACTGCAACAAATATTTAAGTAATTTAATGCGAACGTATCTTGTATGTATAATATATATAATTTTAAGAATTTTGCATTATTATTGATAATCGAAAAGTCTTATTTAAATACTATAGAGTGATCATGATTATAGATATAATAAAATTGCATGTAGTCAGAAGCTGCATTTTCTGTCTTGGAATGTGATAGATCCATACTTACGTGATCAAAATATCGATATCTCTATTGATTCTATGAACACGAGATGCTCAACGTTTGATAATGTGGAATAGCTTTCAGGTAATATGAGCAACAATGTTGATATTGATATTTGTGTACTAATTGTTCTATTACTAAACATCTTGATCGTATATTTGATATAATTCTCTCTATTGTCACAATCATTATAATAATTACATATATCATGTCTGCATTAAATCTTTAATAATACAAATGGTCTCATTTTGAATATCTGAGAGCATCCTCATCAAGACTCAATTAGTTTTATTTCCATAAAAAATATTTTTGATTTGTAAGAAAATATTATTATTGTCGGAAACTACAGAAAATGATCGTGAATATAAGATCAAAAAAAACTACTACCTCACAGCTTTTGATATAACACAGTTAGTATGAGATCATCATTCTTTTGTTATGTATAGAATTCATTAATTGATTGACTTTTCTACTATTTTTGTTTTACTCGAATAATATATTATTCAAAGATAATAACTGAAGATCTTCTGCATTATAGTATAATATTTAACATAGACATTATAAAAATGATAACTAAAGTTTTATTTTTCTTTTTCTTTTTTCGAAAATCGTTGTTTAACTGTTCTTCTTCTTTCGTTGTATATTACATATACAGAATAAATAAAAAAAAACCAACCTAAGTATACAAAGGAAAAAATAAGTCTGTACATGTGACAAATGAGCGCGATTATACATACTAATGCAAGGAAAACCGGACAAAAAAAAATGAAAAAAAAAAACGAAAGAGTCAATCATAATGAAACTAGCAAACATAGAGGATATTTCTGATTAGAAAAAAATAAAAATAATAAAGTATTCATCTAGTTTGCGCTTTTTCTCTGTTTAAAAAATAGTGTTTTTTTCAAAACGGACGAATAAAATAAAAACTATAAATTTATGTGTTGATGTTTTCTTCTTCTAAGCATATTTGACTTTACTAAATCCTGCTTTTCATATAAATTAATATAAGATATTTTCTTTTTCTTCTCTAAAATAAAAAAAACAATACAAATCTCCTAATCACTATAATCAGGTACGGTCCTTGAACTACAATCAAATCGATAATTTTGTTGATAATTATTATCCCAATATTCAGGACCAATATATGATTCATAACCAATACAAAATTGTATATTATTTCCTACACCTATTCGATCTCGATTAATTTCTACTGTAAATGTAAATCGATCATGATTACCATCAAATGAATCTGTAATATATGTTGCATCATGATCATCATATGTAATCCAATTGTCAGTTGTTGAACGAATTTTTACTCGTTTATTTAAACCCAGTGAAACGATTTTTATTGTTCCATATATTCGATTATCAATAGCATCTAAATAATAAAATGTAAATAAAATATATTTTTTTTTCTATTCAATAGACTTACTCGCTTGTTCTAATACAACTTTATGACGTGAAACACGATCATCAAAACCATGTGCATGAATAGGATTTTCAAATTTTTGTTCTAAATAAGTTATTGTTTTCATACGTTCTTGAAATTGTGATAATGGATTATCATCATTACTGATATGTAAGTCTTTGAATGCTGCACTGGGTACATGAGGTAATTCATCGGATGTAATAACTTTAACTTGACTTAAATCAAGACCGAAATCATCAGCAAAACGAACATTCTTTTTTGGATATGAATCAAATGGATCAATACGTGTTAATTTAACAGATTGAGATTTTTTTCTTTGATAGCCAGAATAAATCGTGGGTAGGGATGGTCTAGGTTGATTAGATGATTGTTTTTCATGAGCATTGTGCTTAGCTAGATAATTTTGATGTTCAGAACTGGAATCGTGAATATGTGATGAAAAGTTGATTTCTTCTGAACTGGAAGTTGTATCTAATTCGGAAGTTTCATCTGTAGATGCAACAGGAGGAGGAGGAGATGTTGGACGTTTTTTTAGTGTTTGTTTAGCTGGACTATCAGTATCAGTTGTTGAACTTTCATCGACCGTTGTTTCTTCAGTCGATTGTTCTAGATATTTGAAAAAAACGATGAATTTTTATTAAATATTTCATTTATTTTACGTGGAGTTTTTGGTGAATCGGTTGTATCATTCAATGAATCATCATTACTAGACTGTTCTTCATTTAAACGTTGCTTTCGTTTCGAACGAAAAAATCGTGATCGGCGTGGTGGTGGAGCAGAAGATGTATCGGATGTTGTTTCATTATCATGTTCATATGTATTAGTATCTTCAGTGCCATTTATTCTCTCAAAATCCGATGATTGAATTTGTTCTTCAGTCGTCATCTCGAAGTTTATAAATGAACATGATACCAATCTAAAACTAAACAAGAAAGAAAAAACAACAACATATAATTATTTCAAATATTTGATTGACAAACAAAATCATAGCATATTTTAATCGGCAATAAATCATAAAAGAATTTATTTTTTAATATTGTACTGAGATATAAAATAGGAAAGATAATAATAACAAGAATAAATAAGCATTGACATCACGGCAACACATGATAGGGGGATATTTTGTCTATGTATTACTAATACTATATGAAGATGAGTGTAATAGCGTTTCGTTTTCTTCTTCCGTTCTTTTTTCTGATATCGTCATTATTAGTTTATAGAGAAATCTCCCGTCCGTCTAATGATCAGTCTTTTTTTCTCCTTTACTGCTGTGTAGAACTCGTAAAGGATATACTTATTGATCTTATTCTTCCTGTATTGTTCCTAACAACTCGTTTCCTCATGTCACTACGTATAAGAATCGTATCTAGTGAGACAACGTACAAGGACAACATCCTGTAAATATAAATAGAAAAAAACAAGGACACGTGTCTGTCTGTTAAGAGCAAAGAAGAACAACAAGAGACCTATGTTTTAGTACGATAATAGTAGCAATCACTTCGGTCTATTTTTTTGAATCGAAGCATAGACGAAAAAGAAAAAGAAAAAAAAAGAAAGAAATGATCGAATGAATGTTATAGAGTATAATAAAAAAAAATAAGGTAAATAGAGACTCATAAAAGAGAGACAGTTTATTAAAACGTAGAAACTACGCTTTGCATATGAATAGATTCGTAAATCCTTCGTATTAATATATATTTTATTAAATATTAAATAAATTCAAGCAGAAACTCATTCGACTGCCAAAAATAAACACAAAAAAACGGTGTACTATTTCGAACCTTAACAAAGCATAACGCATTCATAGTTTTGCATACATATATTTCATACATAATTATTAAATTAACTGATAGGAAAACAAATTGTCTATACGCAAATCAATTCGATTCATTACTAAAAGAAAATAGTTGATGTTATAATATTAATAATATGAAAACATCCTGTGAGTATTTAGAAGAAGTTAATCGGGAGCACAAATGTCTTATTCATCAGAAACAATAAATGTTATTTCCTCGGTGGATTAATTCAATTCGATCTTATATATTTTGACTAGATAGCGGAATCAGTTAGATATTATTCACTATTTATAGCAAGTAAACTAATTAAATTAATCATAGATAATTTATTAAAAAAAGACAGTTAATATAAAATCAAAAAGGAATTAGTGATATATACAATAAGAAAGACATCATACACGTCTTCGACTATTATGAAATTGCAACATATGGCAGAACAATCGAAAAAATTTCTCAATATGAAAATAATTTGTTCAATTCTTCATGAAAAAAATCGTACTCGATAAACTTCGTAGACGATAGTGATAGATTGTATTGGTATAGAACATGATTCATATTAATTTCTCAATCGTTCATTTTCATCCAATAGGAATATTGTACACTTATGCAGAATAATTATTTTCAAATTCTATTTGATTAAAAATCTATAGACAGATTTTATATCTTAATAAAATTTGAAAATAAACTTATATTCTCTGATATTTTCTTATTTATTTTTAGTAGAGTTCTTCGAACATGATAAATGGTTGTACACAATAACCTTTTTTCTTTAGCGTTTGTATATTCATTCATTCCTCTTTTCTCTTTCTCCCTCATTTCGCATTTTTATTTTTCCTCTCCATCTTTCCGTCCGTTTATTCTTCCAATATAGCAATGTTTTTTTCTTTTTTGTTTCGCTCGTATTATTTCTCCTTCTTCATCTCATTTTTGTTCTCTCTCTCGGCATCCTCCGCGAAGAAGAGCAAAGAACTGACGAACGAAGAAGCACATACTACGAGTAATGATGACAATCTGAAGCAAGGCAGAAAAAGGATATTTAACATCTGTGCGCGTGAGTGAAAAAAGAGGGACAGACAAGAAAAGCGGCGAGGAAAAAAAATAGGGGCGAAAATGTGGGCCTTTTTCTTATTCTTCTTCTTCTTCTTCACACACACACCCTCTCTCTCTCGCTCTCTTTTGCCACCTCTCTTTTCTCTTGTGTTCTGGATTTTCGGAAAAGTCGTGAAAGGAAAAAAAAGAGAAAAAAAAGAAGAAAAAAAAAGAAAATGACCGTATATTATCCCCAAATACTTAGTATTGAGATTGATATCTTATTTGAATGGTTATATTTATCATTATGCGATCATTTATTAAGGATTTAAGAATATATGAATGTTGTGAAAACGATAATCCATGGCTGATCCTGATTCGCCTACAAATCATTTATCTCCAGTTGATGATGAACCACAAGCATCATCCGATCAACAGCAAGAAGAACAACAACAAGAATCAACAACTAATAATGATTGGCCATGGTATATTGAATTAAAGAATTACTCATAAAAATTATTCATTACTATTTATTTTAGGCCAAGTGATGATCAACAACAACAAAATGCAATTGATTCAAGTGGTTTAATGCATTTAATTGCTACTGGTGGTGGTACAAATGTCACTAATAATACTCATGATGAATCAGTTGTTGATATACCTCCGAATGATCAAATAGATGAACAAACAGATCAAATATCTGAACAATTACCTGATGAAAATATATCAGACGAACAAGAACAAGAACAAGAGCAAGAGCAAGAGCAAGAGCAAGATCAACAACAATTACCTCTTGTTCCAAGTTCATCAATGTCACTTCCCATGGATACAGAACAACAAACAACATCAACTGATGATCAACAACAGCAACAACAACCACAACCACCACAACAGCAAGTTACTAAAAGTTCATATGATATTGCTGAAATACATCGTGATATGTTAAATCTTATACCTATTCCACAAGCATGGTCACATATTCGACATCAATCAGGTCTTTTTTCATATCCTGATTTACCACATTTTAATGTTATACGACAAGCAACATTTCGTGATGGACGTTTTGTTTGTCCATTTTGTACAGTTGATTTTGCTTCCAAAGAAGGCATACGTTATCATTTATATAATTCATGTACAAAATCCCCATATCCTAAAGCTTTCTTTCGTTGTTTAATGTGTGGGAGTGAACTAGCTGATCGAAGTTCATTGCGAACACATTTAGCTCGACATGTAAGCTAAATATTTTGTTTTTTATTGTTATAAAAAAATACAATGATTTGTTTTCTTCTGACTTTATAGGGTGCTGAGGAAGGCGGAACTGTATCTACAGATAAAATTGATGTATCACGTAAACCAGCTAATTCGACGCCTGGTGGAACATCAAATTCGAAAAAATCTAAAAAGAAAAAGAAAACTTCGAATGATATAACTCCACCACAAATGATGAATCCAATGATTGCAATGACATCGGGTGTATCACCTCGTGGAATTGATACATATAATTTACCACCAACTATGATTAATCAACAAATGTCATTGCCAATAATTAAACCTGATTTAAATGATTCAGATCCAAAAGTAAATAAGAGTATTATATATATATATATATATTTTAAAATAATATTTCTAATTTAAGCGTAAACGCGGTCGTCCACCAAAAACAAAAGGTGAAGGACCAACGCCAGTAGCTCCATATACAAAACAAACACATATGAATCCTGCTGGATTATCATTAACTCCAACAATAAACAATCAACTTATATTGAATGATCAACATGGAAAGGTATATAAATATTTGTAAATTCTTTTTTGAACCCTAAATAATTATTTCACCAGTCGGATTTTGTAATAAAACTCTATCATAGGGATATGTAGCTTTTTATTTATATTGATCAAATTAAGAGATGTACTCATTGCAGTAAATTTCAATGTTAGTATATTTAGTAAAATCCTCTATGAAATATTAGTTACCCATGCACACAAATTATATATCCTCACACCTTCAAAATCCGACTGATAGATTTGATCAATTGTTTGGATCCTATGAGATATGGATTGAAATGATCTATTTCCGTCAAAAATATTTATTATTTTTTTTTCCAGAATGATCAACATAAAGCTGTTGCCATGCGATCTCCACGTGGTATTGATATAAGTAGTGAATTAGCTGAATTAGCACGTTCACGAATGCGAGAGGTATAAAGAAGAAAGAAAGAAAGAAAGAAAGAAAGAGAAAAAAACGTATTTTATAATTATTTTATTTTTATTAGCATATCGAATTTGCAACTGATTCATTATTACCTGAACAAGAACAAGAAATCAATACACGCTTACGTACAGATGGTTTTGTTCAATGTCATCGTTGTCGTGGAAAAACACAGTTTACAGCTCTTAAAAAATTAAAAGAACATTTGAAAACCGATTGTCCATTGGGTCCAGGTAAAAAATCAAAATTTCATTTGTTCAAAAAACAAATTCTCGTTTTTTTTATAGTTATGGCAGTATGTAAATTTTGTGGTATACCATTTTCATCTGTAAGCACTGTTTGTGATCATCTTGAACTTTACCATGATGATTCACATGATGTATGTCCAGGTAAATAGAACATTTTTTGATTTTTCAAAGCAATTAAATGGTTATATATCTATATAATTGTTTTATTAGATGATCCGTGTCGTGTTAATGATCGAGCGTTTCGTGCTGCTTTTGCACGTTATAAATTTCCAATCAATGGACGTATATCATTTTCTGCTCCAACAACAACAATTGGACAACTTATACCTGAAAATGAATCAGCAGCTTGTTTAAGTAATGGTGCAAGTTGTTTACGTGTTCGAGTAATGAAATAAATATTCTTTTTTTTCTGCTATTTTTCATAATTCTTTTTAAAGATGCTTTCATGTGATCGATTTCTAAATCCATTGGATAGTTTTGCTGCTTCACATGTTATTGTTTTAAATGTTGGTCGACCTATACGTTGTGTGGAATGGTTACCGCGTGCGGTTGATGTTATTGGTAGTCAATATGTTGCATTAGCACTTGAACAATGGTCATATGATA